TTGTTGCTGCATCGATCGGAGGGAATAATGATTAAGCTGAGATTTTTTATGGAGTAAAAGATGATCGCGCGCCACCCCCGTGCCCACTATCGATACATTCCAAGCATGCAAAACTATAATACAAATACGTGAAAAATCATCAAAGCTATGTATATATGTATATACTTGCACATAAAACCGATCAGGATGCAGGCAAACGTAATTTTCGCGGTCGAGATTATCTCGTTCTATCCCCGGTGTGTTGCACACACCCAAGAGCAACGGTAGACACTTTGCGAAACACGAGTCGTCGCTTTCGTTATTAATCTTCACCGACGAGGCATGTTTTCTCCTTTTTTTTTTCTCGTTATTTTGTATATCGTGTCGATGAGATTCTCGTACTATTTCACTTGTTCTTTATATTTGTACCGGAGAGCTTGACAATAATTTTGCGTTATTGATATTTTTTCGTCGGTTGGTTTAAACTTATCGATCACTACCGAGTAAACCGAATAAATTATTAATGAGCACAAGACTACCGTCGTCGAAGTAACAAGTAAAAATATTTCTGAGATATAAATATGTATATATATATAAACTACAAAAACGTGCAGAACCGACCACAAGTTTCGTCACTATCATCGTCTTCTTTGATTTACGCGATGTCCTTGAACGAATAATAATAATTGATGGTCGATCGACCGCTTAACGAAGAACCAATCTCGTATCCTCTTTTTGGTCATGTTTTCTCTTTTCGTTTTGTTTTTTTTTTTTTTTTTTAGTATGGTTTCTTTTCCTTTCGCTGTTTGTTATTAATAAGAAACTTGTAGCCCGAGCCGAAGCGACATGCACTATTGTTAAAAGTGAGCTACCAAGTTTCTATCAGGTAGAAGTATCATATAAATACGCTGAGCTTAGATACAGCATTCGTGTCCACCCCGCTGGCCCGTCGTGTCGTCGCGTAGCCAATTTTTCAAGATGATTCGCGGTTAATTTTTTCACCAAACGGAGGACACAGCGTGATTTCTTCTCTGTGCGTATTGTTTGCGGAGAAATTGTTTCTTGAAAAGTCCACCACGGGCGACACGACGAGCGTCCATTGAAAAAAAAAAATATATAAAAAAATATTAGAAAACAAAAAAAGAGAATAAATTAAGCAATCAGCCAATACCACGGTCTCAGTACGAAATATTTGTACACCCATATCAATATCTTACGTTCATATTGATTTGGATATATAGCAGCCGACGTCTCCAATTCAAAAAGTATAAGTCTCGATCGTGTTTAAACACATTCATCTCGGAGGACTTACGAAAATACCCCATTGTTGCTTCGAAAGGATCACTCTTTTCACGTGTTTCCTCTAATAAATGACAGATCTCTTTTTACCATATGCCGCGAGCCGACGATTTAAGAGATTTTCCTACTATACAGAGCTGAAACGAATTGTATTCGTTTCCCTGATCATATTCTTGTTTATAATTAACATTTCGAAAATGTATTCGGCAATATTTCCGCTGAACTTAGATGAAAAAACTTTCCTGTTTCATGAAACCCAAAAAGTGTTAAACTGATCGACTTCGTTCTTTAATACCATTAACCCTCACATTGTGTTTATATAATAGTTATCTGAAATAGTACCGGGATTACAAACTGATTAGAAAAAACGTATATATCTGTAGCTACATTACAATATACAAAAATTAATTGTATGAAATTTATTTAAAAATTTATGTAACAAACAGAATTACTCAAAGTTAACTGATCCTGAACACAGTACAAGGGTTAAAGAGAACACATGTTCTTTAGAGATAGTAGTAAAATAAACTATTCAAAGCAAATAATCTCAATTTTAGAAAACCCTTATTAATCAATAATAATGTCTATAAGATTCGACAATATCCCATTTCATAAATTCTCTTATAAAAAATTCCGAACATCTATTTTATATCTGAAGTAGGAGAACCGCTTAAAAATTTCGCGCCCGGAAATACAGCTCGTTCTTCGGCCATGTACTATAAAAATATCACACTTCCGTTTCCGTTAGGAACCGGCAGATTTTCAACGAGCGATCTCTTAAGATTCAACGCATATCTCTCTCTATCGTGGCGCTAGTATAACGAACGTAAACCTGGAAAACGAGAAACTGGCATTAGTCTCATTCATTCCACAATTTTTCCCAGATTTCCTCAAAATATGTCTCATATTGTTCGATACTTTTATATACCAGTCAAGTGCACGATCTCTTGATACCACAATCTGTCAATAAGATTAACGACACGAGAAACCGGAAGGGGCTGGGGACAATTCGATCTCTCGAATGGCCTGTGGCGGGAAATACAAGCTAACTTTCTCTTCACTTTTTGAATCGGGAGGCGCGCGGCGCGTCTATATCTTCATATATATATTGGTGGAATATATATATAATATATATATCGTGTGATACGTAATATATGTTGGTATATAAACACGTAGTGAGTTAAGGTAATATATAGAGTAAGGTGAGGTTAGATACGTGGCTTAGGCTGCGCGAACGCCGGTCTCCGAAGCTCCACCTACTGACTGGGATCAAATCGTCTTTGTAATGGTCCGCTGCAAACATATTGACAGCCACAACTGTAGGCGCTATCCTTCGGTTTTATAGCGGCTATACCGTCACGGTAATACGCTCGCAGTTTTTCACCAGTATTATCCTCGATTCTCAGTTAGTAATTCTTGCTTGTGTTTTTGTTAACACCGCATAATAAAACTGATCTACTTACAGACTAAACTTTTACACATCCCTTAAACGCTATGCTCTGTAATCATAGGTCTGCCTTCGGAACAGAGCCGACTGAATTAGGAATAATCGCATAAGTGTCCGAGCTGTTAATCAAGTATGACAGTGGATTACTATGGAATAGCATAGTGGTACGAGCTGTACGTCGATTTAAGATTTCCATATGCACGTACCAAACTCGAGAAAGTCTGCTGTGACAGTAAAATTGTGTACCTCACTCGTACGAGTTATGGAGTAACTTCTTTGAAACTTGTTTAGACAGACATTGTATATATGTATACTGACGATTGATAATACCCGTAGCAATGTTGCACCATCCAATTTGGATACGTTATGTGATGAACTTTATGTTAACACACTGTCAGGCGGCGATTTTCAGAGCACACTGCTGTCTACGGCCGGCGACAGTTGATGCACAATGTACACTGCTATCAGTGCTGCTTAAAGCCATCACTTTTCATTTTTAAAAAAAATGTTACGAAAGTATTATTGTATATTTATAATTGAGTATAGTATTAAATACTTTTAATGAAGTTCGGAAAATTTGTCGTATTCATGTTTAAAAAAATTTCACTACTGACAGACTGTCCATGAGTCCAGAACATCTATTTTTAGACGACCGGCCGTTTACGGAAGTTTTCACAACTAATTTTAGTCGACTGCCCGATAGTGTGTTAAATTAATCACATCATCTTACATGCAAGACGCAAGTCGAAATTAATAATCAACAGTTCATAAAAGCATGAACAATATTCATTTGTGTACTAAGATAATAAATTATTGAAAGAACTGCAATTCAACTCAATTTTTGAATACATATTTTAGATGTCACATGAACGAATATGAATGATTTGTTTTTAATAATTGTATCTATGCATATGGCTTCCAGAGATCTTATTTTGAAACATGAAAATAACAATCTGATTTAAACACAACTGATTACTTTCTTGTGCAATATTTTTCAAATCAATGAACTGCGTGTTTACCAACACTGATGATTATACAAAATCTTGATTAACTAACACGAAAGCATGTTACACTATACTTTATTTCATACATTTATATTCTGAATAACACCTATTTCGTCATTCTCAAATATTAATTTATGTTTGATGAATGCATTTAATGTGTATATGATCACCAGCCTTACTAACAACATAACTTATCTGAAAGCACTTATAAATTTAAATATAACTTCCAAAACATATTTTCAAACGTGTAGTAATGCAAAAATATATGATTCCTAAAAAAATATGGAACACTGCATTGAATATCACACATACGATGAAACAATTTTAATTGGAACAAGTTGTTTATACCTATAAAATCAAGAAAATAACTGAATATATATATATTTAAATCACACACAGTAGACTCTTACTAGAAATAATATAATATACCCATGAGTAGACCCCTTGTTAATCATGTCTCATAGACGTCATTGAATATATGGCCATATAATATTTCATTTTAGTACCAGGGACAATTTCTTTGGTTTTAAAAGGACTACAAATTTTAATTAAAACTTGTAATAATGAAGTCTATTTATATGTATGTTTCAACAGTTATTGATGTTGAATTAAAAGAGAAAAAATATTAAACTGAGTCAGAGTTTCAACAGTTTGTAAGTCCAAGGATCCTTCATAGGCTATATTTCTATCAATTCTTTTGTGTCAGTGTCCAAAACACTAGTAAGTAAGTACTTCAGTTTTCGATCGACTGGATGACCACACTATATCTCTTCCACCCGCGAGTATACGCATAATGCATTATTGGAATATGCACGTTGATCAAGTCAGCGAAAAGTGCATAAATAAGACGAAACGTGACATAACACGAAGAAAACCGATAAAGCCGCATTAAAAACCATAGTATTCCGAGTCGAGTATGGCTTTTAATAAAGAGTCATCGTGAATATTATCCAGGACGAAGTCTGGAAGCCATTTTGTATTTCCCACACAGAATGCGGTATTGATTTATCTGTCACTGGGCCAGAAATTCGAGGGTTTTTTCTCGCCGTACGAAGACGAGGATTCGTTCATGAAACAACGATACGAGCCTTGATCGAATTTGAACGTGCATCATTTTTCGCAGTTGTCGAATAGCTTCGCTTAACAAAGGAGAAAAAATTGTCTGTCGTACGAGTGACAAGTGGTATATCCTCGACTCGAAAACACGAGATACTCTTAACGTGTGTAACACATATTTCTAGTTGTTACGCGCGGTTACGATGTATAATTACCTTTCTTGTCGGTCATTATTGCTTAAAGTTTCACAAATTCTAGAAAAAAATACGATATTCCTAATTAAATCACCGATTTAAGTTACAATACTGAGGAGACGAGCAACGGCTGTGACACTTGACGGACACTAGCGCCCTTTATTGAGCCTGTCCGTGGCTCCCTTGATGCTTAGACACCATTGGTCGAACATTTTACGTGCGATCACCCAATGAACGTAACGCTCTCAACCTGATATTGACCGCCAAAAATTCAATACGTTCTAGAACAACAGAAGTTGTTTAAATACTTTTCCGTACTAGAATACGTTTTTTAGTAAAAATGTGTACTCGTATATATTATTAAAAACTATTATATAACAAACAGATGTTGCAACGACTTCTATACGATATTATAATCTTTTAACGTGTTCGTTTTATTTTATAGATTTTCATAATGAATTTTTAAATGAACAAAACCTTTTTGTCTATCGTAAAATATAATACTCGTTATTTTAAAAATGATAATATATGTAAATAAAGGTTATAATTACTTACTTATAAAAACTGACTTTAAGTCGTTTGCATTAGAAATGCAACCGGAAATGTAATTGGTCGCCCATTGCGACAGACTACAGTGTATATATATGCAACTAAAAATTAAATATTTATTTAAAAAGGAAGAAGATAATATTGCGCTGAATAATCAAATTCATTTGGTTTACTCGAATATTCTAACTTCTAAAACTCTACTTTGTTTGACAACTTCAAACAATTGTATCGTATCGTACACATAACGTTGTTGTGACATTCGATACATTCTACAGGAAAGTATTAAAAACCTGTTTCAATACAGTAGAATTATTATTATTATTATTATAAATAGTAATATCCAATATAATGATACGGAATACTTGAATGTATAATAATAAATTCAGTACTTAAAAGTTCTTTGACATTGAAACTTTAACTTTATAACCTCAACATCATTTATTGGAGTTTCGAACTATTTGAAGAAACAAAACTTTAAATAAATTACATTGTTTAATTACTATGGCACATGACAAAAAGACTGTAAGACGAAGCCGATCGCGAGAACGAGATCGTGATCGCGAAAGGGAGCGAGAACGCCGTGATCGACGACGATCTAGAAGCAGATCAAAGGATCGCAAGAAAGACAGAAAACGTTCTAGATCACGAGAACGATCCAGGGAAAGGGATAGATCTCGTGAAAAAGATGGGGACAGATCTAGAGAAAGGCGAGATCCCAAAGATAAATCCAAGGACGAAAAGAAAAGGAAACAGAGCCCTATATTTGTTATAGATGATGAGAATAAAAAGGAAAATAAAAATGAAACCAAGAAAGACGAAGAAGATATGGAAGAAAAATCAAAGCATGCTGCGAAAAAGGAACCACTTAGCTTGGAAGAGTTATTAGCTAAGAAAAAAGCAGAAGAAGAGGCTCGTGCTAAACCTAAATTTCTGAGCAAGGAGGAGCGTGCAGCTATAGCAATACAGAAAAGGCAGGAAGAAGTTGACGCTATGAGGAAACAGCAACAGGAAGTATGTAAATCTTTGTTCCACAACGAGAATGCTGGAAAGGAAAGAGAATGGGATGATAGAGACAGGTAAGTCATCTACTACAATCTACGTAACTCAATGATCATGGGAATGCCAGATGAAGAGATTTATTTCTAATAGTCCCAGTTGTGTAAATCTGTTCTGGTAAATTATACTTAAAAACTCCAAAGTTAAGATAATCACATAATAATCAATCATATAGGCGCAGAGATGGACAACGTGCAAGAGAAGATGAAATTAAGGACAAGGATAAAGAGAAAGAAGTAGAAGCTATTAAAGAACGTTATTTAGGATTGATAAAGAAGAAACGTCGCGTTAGACGATTGAATGATAGAAAATTTGTATTCGATTGGGATACATCAGAAGATACATCTGTTGATTACAATAGCATTTATAAGGAACGACATCAGGTTCAATTCTTTGGTAGAGGCAATCTTGCTGGTATAGATATCAAAGCACAGAAACGAGACCAGAGTAAATTCTATGGAGAACTTTTGGAAAAGAGAAGAACAGAAGCAGAAAAGGAGCAGGAGAAGTATGCATTTGTTTTAATATAGAGAATAATTCGTACAAGTATATAAATTGTTATTCATTCTTTTATTATCGTTTAGAATGAGATTGAAGAAGGTGAAGAGAAAAGAAGAAAAACAGAAGTGGGATGATAGACATTGGTCAGAGAAAGCTCTTCAAGAAATGACTGAAAGAGATTGGCGTATATTTAGAGAAGATTATAATATTACGATAAAAGGAGGACGCATACCAGATCCGATTAGATCATGGAAAGAGTCAGGATTTCCTAAAGAAATTCTTGATATTATTGACAAAGTGGGATATAAAGATCTAACGCCTATTCAAAGGCAGGCCATTCCTATAGGGCTTCAGAATAGAGATATTATTGGCGTTGCCGAAACTGGTTCTGGAAAGACTCTAGCCTTTTTAATTCCATTGTTACTGTGGATTACTAGCTTACCAAAAATTGAGAGATTAGAAGAAGCAGATCAGGGTCCTTACAGCATAATCTTAGCGCCTACGCGGTATGTTAATGCATATATCTGATTTAATCTTTATATTTAAACGAACTAAAATATATAAAACTTTGGTTCACAGTGAATTGGCACAACAGATTGAAGAAGAAACTAACAAGTTTGGGCAACCGTTAGGTATAAGAACAGTCGTTGTTGTGGGTGGTCTCTCGAGGGAAGAACAAGGTTTCAGATTGAGAATGGGTTGTGAGGTATTCACTTCATATTACGTAAAAGTTACGTATGGCATACAACATATAAACACTTATATTTTAAATTTTACCATTGCAGATTGTAATAGCTACACCTGGACGTTTAATAGATGTACTAGAAAATCGATACTTGGTTTTAAATCAGTGTACCTACATAGTACTAGATGAAGCCGACAGAATGATAGACATGGGATTTGAACCAGATGTGCAAAAGATTCTGGAATACATGCCAGTTACAAATTTAAAACCAGACAACGAAGACGCCGAGAATGAAGAAAAACTGTTGGCCAATTACAATACAAAGAAAAAATACAGACAGGTAAATATAATCACCTCCATTACTGTAACTTCTTAGTCTAAACGGTTCCTAGTTTATATTTCGTTTCTTTCCAGACTGTGATGTTCACAGCCACTATGCCACCTGCGGTGGAACGATTGGCTAGAACTTACTTAAGGCGACCGGCTGTTGTATACATTGGCAGCGTAGGCAAACCGACAGAAAGAACAGAACAAATAGTCCACATAATGGGCGAAGCAGACAAACGTAAGAAACTGATGGAGATCCTCAGCAGAGGAGTAGAACCGCCAGTGATTATATTCGTCAATCAGAAGAAGGGTGCTGATGTTCTTGCGAGAGGTCTAGAGAAACTGGGCGTACGTTTCTTGACATTATCATTAGAATCTGATTATGTATTACACACTTGGTACAATCTATTCTTTTTTTATTTATTAGTACAACGCGTGTACCCTTCACGGTGGTAAAGGACAAGAACAAAGAGAGTATGCGCTTGCATCTCTCAAGAGCGGTAGCAAAGACATTTTGGTTGCTACTGATGTTGCCGGTCGTGGTATTGATATTAAGGATGTGTCTATGGTTATTAATTATGATATGGCTAAGACTATAGAAGGTAAGTGGCGGCATCTTATAATTTAAAAAAAAAATGGAAACTGGTATTATTTCCTACCTTTGTTTGTAGATTACACGCATCGTATTGGTAGAACCGGTCGTGCAGGAAAGGCTGGTCTTGCTATATCATTCTGTACGAAAGACGACAGCCATCTGTTCTACGATCTTAAACAAACGATCCTCTCGAGTCCGATCTCTACTTGCCCACCGGAGCTACTGAATCATCCGGACGCGCAACATAAACCTGGCACGGTAGTAACGAAAAAGCGCAGGGAGGAGAAAATATTTGCCTAAAAACAAACACCTAATAATCGTATGTATTTCATCGTTGCACACGGGCGCATATTTTTTATAGTGTATAAAATAAAACGGAAATGGAACTGTGTATTTAAACGCAATAAATGAAATGTAAATACATACTATGGACATGAATCTTTGAGTTATTACTGCTTGTGCTAAATTCGAGGATCTACGAATGTAATGTTCGCGGATTGTAGCGTGAAAATCCTATTTCGGCAATCAGTTCTGAAAAATACATCAAATCTGTGATGTACTTTATTACACAATAATCCAATGCGAAACGTGTACAGATCGTTAGATATTAACGCACGAACTCAGCTTTCGACAACGGTGTTATTTAGTGTTAAAAATTAGTTACTAATCATTTTCCACGTGTTTCCGACGTTCTTCGTTTTATTTTCATGTAATGCAACATGGAATTCTAAATATCACGTACGCTCTTAATAAAGTAATTATAATCAAGGAACTGGAGCGGGTGGGGGTGTGTAATCCCCTTCTACTTTACATTCCTCTTTCCAATCGTCTGGTATCATTGGTTTCAAAATCTCTACAAATTTGTCAAATGGACAAATTGTCGTGCATCCAGGAATAGTCAAAGGGTACGGTTCACGATCGGTTGTGTTTCTTAAGAATACCTGTACGAAAAAATCGCGAGAGTTATAAAAACGATTGTCTAAATTCTTTTTCGTTGCATAAAGCATAAGGGTCTTACCTGAACATTCCATCCATTTATGTCTTCGTGTAATTCGATCATGATCATGATATTGTAGTTAGGCATTTGGTTATTCCACACATGCATAACGTCTAACAAAGTTACAATGGTACTGTCATGCCCGATATACATGAACATTTTCCTGTCCTCAGGCTCTAAAATATTGTCCTTTTTCGCTAACATGTCTACGACAATCTTCTTAAGGAAAGGTCCACCTTTCAGTCTTTTTAAATCATCACTGTACACGTTCAGTTGAAAATCGTATAATGTCAACGGTATCAATTTATCAGGATAGTAATCTTTCGTCCATTCAGGGAGGGTCAAGTTCATTTGTTTCTAAAGCACAGAATTTATAATATATGTATAAGATACTTCTACAGAACGCGTATAAAGTTTCTGAAGACGACTACACACACCTCGGCCGTCAACGTTCCATAAATTGAATTAACATCCTCGGGAGACGAAATTGCCATACCCGTTAAGTTCGTTAACTCTTCGTACAATTGGCTGTTATCATCTTGAACCTTTTGCACTTCCGGTAAAGATGTAATCGTGTGTCGCAACTTGGTGTATCTCGGGCATGTGTCCCATATCAACATCATCTACAAACATGTGAAGAATTAGAAATTGGGTTAAACTAAATGTATAATGGAAACTATGCGCATATTACAAAACACCATGCGTACCGTATCTTCATTACGCGGTTGATAAAACAAGGTAACAGGTTGCCACGGTAAATCAGCCTTGAAAGACTGTTTTTCGTTTGGTTTCCACAGAGCAGCTGCTTCCAACAAAGCAGACATTTTTGTACGATCAACCGCGGTACATTGTAGGTAAAATATATTCGGACTGTATATTGGTCCCAGAAAATCATTATAACGATCACGTAGGAAAATCCCTTGATTATACTGACTTCTTCTTCCTTCCTACACACCAGTTTTCACGTGTAATTATTAAATGAAATTTTAATATTACAATGATAAGAGAAAATTATTACATTTGTCAGCTGTCCCCAACCATAAGGTTCCATGGAGTCATTCACGTAAGGATCATTTGGGTAGGTGTCTTGCGGCGCCCTTTCTCCGTGCCTCATTACCTAAAATGTTATTCTTTGAATTTGCCTAAGAATAAAGAACAAAGACGATATTGAGCTACCTTATCTAATAGACAGTACTCTTTCAATATTTTTCTTTATCGTGTTTTCATTATCAAGACGATTAGACTCATATAAACGAGGCTTCTCTCTGTTATCGTGGTGTCTTTCGAAAGAAATAAAATTCGTATTGTGAAAACTCTGTGCTAATTTAGTTGATCATCTGATAAACTCAATCCAGCTGCAAATACATACGTCTTAAACGCATATACGGTAAACTTGGTATCGAAAGGGGAACACATTGTATATCCGAGAATGAATTCTGGACTGAACTGCTTTAATTCGACGCGTTTCTTTTGCACCTACCACTGTTACTAGTCGCAGACTAGTATCTCCAGTTTTTTTCTCATTATTCTTGTCATTAGTCGCGCCTTCGTCGATTGTCACTGGCGATCCTAGAAACGGGGAGAGAATATGCTGCATTAAATTACAATTTCAAGGACGTTCATGAAACTAAATACTCGACAGAGTAGAGATCGAAGTCACTCGCTACAACAAAAAAAAACAAACAAAAACTAATCTTCGTTCAAGCTTGTTGGTGAAAGATTACCTGACGACGAACAGACGACAACCGCAAAGATCACGAGTTTACACGCGAGCATTATTGAAACGATCAAGAAGATTTTCGAGGACCGCCTTCCATTGACCATTCGCCTCCCCACGAGCTGTCGCACGAGTAGAACGGTCGCGTACTGAGATCTTAAGAACTGTCAGCAGATAAATCCTATGTCCCCACCATGCGAAATGCTGTATTATACAATATAATGTTACTAGCAACAAGACTGTCCGTCTTCTGTACTCAAGTGTCGAACATTTATTCTATTGATGGCATCCGTGACCGGGTGAAATATTAAAAAGTATACCTCGTACACATGCAGACGGTTCTTCACTTCTGCGCGTTCGTTAACGTCTCATGGAACCCTACAAACATATTATAAATTAGGAAAGTGTTGATAAAAAAGAAAAAAGACAAGCATAATATACTATGAAATAAAAATGTCCAATTATCTAAGGCAACTAGTGCTCTAGATTCCTTGATCTTATTACGGTAATAAAACAGCATTTTTATTATCGGTTCCACACGACGTCAGGTAACGCGAACAATGCCTCCGTTTGAGAAAAATAAAATAAGACAACGGAAGCGGCGTTTACTCGGTTATGTAACAAGCTCATTGACTTGCAACAATTTCTTATTATCCAACATTATGTTCTGACCGTGACTGGCTACGAATCGAAAGCATATGACATTTTAATTGCTATCCTTGAGTAGTAATTAAATCGCGCCGCGACACTTTTGTAATTCGTGTAATAGCTATTTCATTGTGCATATTTTGTCGGATTGAAAGTGAACGAAATACCAGAAAAAATTGTAGAACTCTTGAAGTCTGCAAAGACTCGCGCATAAAAGGGAACTAGGTTGTCGGGAACCGATTCTGACTAGTTTTTAATGGAATGCCAATATAATTGCGGTCTAACAATAAGCATTACTCAAGATATTATTTAGCATAACGGAAAAAAAAGTGTCTAGTAATAACACGTAATAGCACGTAATGTTGGCGATCGCTCAAAAAGATACTGATAACACACCGCAATCATACAAGGAAAAATCCTCTAGGAATAAATTTGAATTAGAGAAAATTCAAAAAATGTTTAAACAGTATCGAAAGACAGAGATCATTCATGGAACAAGGAAAGTTGCATTCAAATTATACCAGAATTCCTTTCTTCGTTTTAATTGAAACACCGATCAAAGTATTACCAGCGCGATTCGTGAATTTTATAATCGCAACAAACTGATCGATGCAACAGCTACAATATATTCGATTAAAATCTTCCGAAAATGAATTCGTTTGAAACCTCTAGAATTTTCCTACTTTCCCGTTGATGAAAGTCTTCTAGGAGTCAGACTCTCGTCATTTTTTATTGTCACGGCAACGATAAATCAAGGTATTCGTTTGTTTTATCGAAATATCCTTCAATCGCGTCGTCCTCACAAGTTCAATAGAGGTATCCGCAAGGCTTGATCATCATTCACGCGATCCACGAGCTCACGAATTAAAGAAGCTCCAGGATAGAAGTAGCCACGTATGCGAGCATCTTCGTGAAACGAACGCCGGAAACCCGCCGAAGACGCGGATTCATTGGAAGGACCTGAGCCTGTGGATACGAAAACCGTTTCAGCCGTGGATCGCTTAAACGAGGGTGGTCAAACGGCGGTGTCGAAACCCCGGAGGTCCCGTCGCAAGAAGCCGAAAAACGCTACTGCCAACTCTAAGGTCTCTCGCAAAATAATTCGTGAATTATTCAAAAATTTCTATATACATCATAAAATCTGGTCTTTCTCTAATAAACGCATAAAGTTATGAAAACTGTTCTCTGATCAGTTTTTGAATACTTTCAACGAATCTACAAGTGTTTCCAACGTTTTAACGAGTACATCATGAATTTCAAGGCAAAAGCAATGGCAACTCCTTGCGGTGAGTACCGAAAGGAAAGCCAGAAGTCCAATACACAGCCAGGGACACAGGCAACGAATCAACAGCCGTGTTCCGTGCCAGCGATTCAGAATCAGACTACCTCGACAGCCCCGATGCGACTGAGGTCTCTCTATACGGCGCATAGTTATCATGCTCAGACAGAAGAATCTAATTTTCAGGTACGTCTTACAAGTACAGCAAGAAAAACCTGGAACTTCGATCTGACAATCGTTCATTAAACGGACCTTTCCTGGCTTTACGAAGCTGTAGGGGGAGTTGGGGCACTTTGATGCAATGGGGCACAATGAAACATCAATAGATAGTATCTCGATATCCATAAACATTTATATGTGCATCCGTCAAACCTACTGGAATTCATTTCATCTCCAGCGATACAGTGAATTTTCCAAGTATTTCGAAACACCTCCGTCGGAGCAATGGGGCGGTTTAACGAATGCAACGCCGCTTTGGCGGCAACCAAGGAATTCGAAAACCATCGCACCCTATTACGAGGAGACGTGCGTCTACGCCGAGAACTGGAGGGAACACGACACCGACGCAGCCATCGTCGCCACGCCGCATGGGACGATTTCCTTGAGACTTCACAACAGGATTCGAGTGGACATGACGATCGATCGCGCGGTCAGAATAATCAATTTCAAGGTATCCCCTTTTTTTTCCTCTACACTTCGTAACGGAATTCCCCAGTTCGGAGATGATGAATCTTTTTAAAAAGTATCCCCACGTGTCTTCTACAAAAGGAAATTAATATGGAATTGACAATAAGATGATTCGCATTAAAATTCATGATGGAGAAACATGCTTTCATACTCACACGATTTTTATCCGAATTATATTTATCGTCAGCGTAGAATAACATCGTATTATCGTTGAGCGGTTCTGGAGCAGCCGCGGCATTACTACACCCGAATGGGAGAATATATCAGTACGGATCTCGAGTTGAAATCTTGGCCCACGACGCCCACGGCAATAACAAGTTAGTGGTATCTGTAACACCATTAAAGTACCATTAACAACGATTATTGCCCTTTATTAGATATGCAAAGATGTGGTATAAAGGGGTCAGCTTCACTTCCGAGCAATGCGCCCTTGTCTATTTAGTGGACACTGCGGGAACGAGAACGACCACAGACTCGTTTTCCGATATGAGTCAGGTACAGTGATAACGATACACGTGTATTATAATTATTTACATTCACTTTTTATCTTCCAGGATTTCTCTCTAAGTGTTTTTTACTCTCGTTCTCGGCACGGTTCAGCGTGCCTACAAGAAGCTGCAGCAGCTTTAAATGCTGCCCAGTATTGGTTGACTAACGAAGGAGTAGAGAATTGGATCATCAATAACGTCAGAGTTTCTCAGACACCCGATGGTCTTGTTAGGTATCTTCTATTATTTTCATATACAGAGACACATTAAATGTCTGTTGGCAGTTTGGAATAATCGAAAAAAAAATGTATACTGTGGTGGTATTGCCCTCGGCCACCGTAGAACTTTGTTCCCAAGATTTTTATAATTTTAACGGATAAGTATATCAGGTATATTTCTCTTGTCAGGATTGCACGGAACAGTAATAAGTATCAGTTGCGTACATCCCCCAGTAATGGTACCGCCTCGTTAACAACACCGTTTTTACACTGCACCGCTTCTCTGGGCCAGACATCTCATCTTTTTGTGCGTCGCGGCGAACGACGTATGCATTACGACGGGACCAGTTTTATCGTGCGAAATGCAGGCCACAGCGCTGGATTTGACGATAACAATCAGCTGAAGGTTTACTAAGAAATTCTCGTGCGAACTCTCATTGCCGCGAGCTTGGTTGGTAAAAAAAGAAAAGAAAAAGATATCTTCACGACGACACAACCATCGCATCCAGTATACAGATTTTCACTTTTAACGTCATAAATGTAATACAGCCACGTGAAGCTGAAACGAAACTGTCACGCCTTTAGAACTTAATCTCTTGCAAAGTGACTGAATGAAGTTCGAGCAAGCTGCCAAACATTCTATCCAGTTTTTAAGTTTAGAAATTTACTTGAATTCCATTTTAATGACGTTTAGTAATTTAATTGAATTGCCTTCATTTAGGTGCACAACATAGCTACCACGAGAATAGAGTACGATATATTCTATAAAAAGTTTCTTTAAATTTGGAACGATTGATATTTTCAACTGATTTGTTCCTTATACTACTTTGTACATTTCTCAATAAAGAACGATTTAAATATAAACGATAATCTGCTTAGTATTCTATATTACAACAAAGCAATACACTTACAGAATAGAATTGTTTGCTTATTATTTTACTCTGAATCTAGTTTATCTGAATCAAAATCAATCTCTAGTATCCCATCTTCGTCGGATTCATTTGAGTCTGTTTGGGAAGCATCATTAAGTAGTGGTCGCATTTTTGCCTTGCCAATAGATTTCCTAAAATTTAACAATTTAAGTTGAATAAGTTAGGCAATAGTATTTCAAAAAAGTCCTATATAAAGATAGGAAGGTACATACTTCTTATATTCCCCTCTTGAGGTAGAAGCAGCAGAACTATTCTGTGTCTGTTGATTTCTTCTTTGTTCCTCAAACTCTCGAATATCATTAATAATTTCTGCAGCAATATTTGCATCAAACAGATTCAAACTATTGCTCGATTTATTCGTGGCTACCAGTTTCTGTTTCTTTTCTTCATAAGATTTACATAATGCATCAATCTCTGATAGCATCTGATGCTTATCTGTCAAGTCTTTTAAAGCTGGCAATACAGAATATGGATTAAAGGACACCTGTGATTCCTTTGTACGATAATGTTTTTCTAACCCATACTACAAATTCATAGGATTATGATATTGTACCAATTTATAAATAAATTTTAACAATTTCAAGTTACTGTAGTATTGATCAGTTACCTCTTTATCGAAAATACAAAAGTGAAATGCATTATCTGCTATCAATTTACATAAAATATAATTAGCATCCAAATGCTCTGCTTCTTTTATTTCTGCATGGAGATCTTTGATGCTTTTGCAATCATCTAATTTTATTCTAATTTTGAATTGGTTGGTAGGCATCTTATAATATATTCCATATAAAAGGTACAATCCTCCAATACGTTCTTTGAATCTTGAAGGCAAAAAAAGAAACTTTTTGCAGATATTTAGAGCTTCCTCGCAAAATTCTAATAATTCTATGTATGCAGGGCGTCCACTAGAAATATATAGAACATAATAATGTCAAATAATTAATTTTGATACATAAAAAACACGATTTGCAACTCACGTTCTCATGGTTGATATACGTGATACAATAAACTTAAAGTAGTATGATGGTCATACATCACAAAGGAACCTCTTATAAATATGCACATCAATTAAGTTGTGATTTTCTGTTATAATTTGCAAAATATTCATGCAAAAACTTACGTAAACACCAGAGAAAATTTCATTTCTTTCCAAATCTCGCAAAATGTCTGAAATCTAATATCGTTCGCTTGTTCGAAACGGCTAAGTAATTCTTCACAGTCCTCCTTAAACCCGCTCAAAATTAACGATTTATCTGTTCCCATTTTGAAACTTTAAAAACACACTAATGTTATCAGTGTTATTATAATACTTTCTACGATTACTTATTATTATTTCAATCTGTGTCACATGCAAAATTTAAAAGTCTGCATTTGAAGGCACTTGTTCTTGTTTTGACAAGACTTTTCTTCCGTGCGAAACAACAGCGACATCTATGAAAGTTTATCCGTAAACGCGGCTTATTCGAATAAAATATAAAAGAAATCAGCGTGTCTTTATTCTTAAATCGTATTTTGTACAATGATTTACCAATCGTCATTATGAATGACCGGTAACAGAATAAAAAAAAATCATTAAAAGGCATTGTACAGATAATAAGTCTAACTAATCTAAACGCGTATTTAAAATTTTTTATTTACTGATTTCCTTTTATTGCAAAGTGGATCGAATTTACTAACCACTTTCACAGTTACACAGAGCGTTTTCGTACATATATAAGATTATGCAGCAGTAAAAATCTTAATATTTATGGCGTAAGACGTTTGGGATCACGAGGGAACATTGAGACTTTCCTGATATTATCTAAACCAAGATACAACATTACAACACGCTCCATTCCGATTCCGCCACCAGCATGAGGAGGGCAACCGTACCTGAACGCGTCGATATATGCTTTGATCTTTTCTATATCTAAAATATTAATACAATGATAATCGACTGAAAATATGTAGGAACGAAGAAGTTAAAAGTTAAGTACACCAACCAATTTCATGATGTTTAGCACGTTCTATAAGAAGGTCAGGATCATGGATACGTTGCGCACCGGAAATGATTTCCTCGCCACGCATAAACATGTCGTAAGAGTTCGACGCTTTCTGTAAACGATATTATAATACATGTTCGACAAACTACTAGAATAATAACAATAATCCGAATAATAAATTATATGAACTTACAGAATTGTTTGGATCTGGCATTGTATAGAAAGGTCTTACTGCCAGGGGATACTTATCCAAAATATAGAAATCTGTGTCATACTAAAAACAAAAGTTAAAAAAGAAGAGTGGTCATTCATTCTTGAAGTTTTATATAGATATCAAGAAACACCTTGTACAATAAAACTTACCTTTGCTTTTACAAGTTTACCCAACAGTTTCTCATCGGGTGTAGACAAATCGTCTTCTTCACCCAAAGTTGTTCCAGCTTCCTTCAATAATTCGATCGCGTCGCTAAATTCTAATTTCAGAGGCGGATCTAAGAATGTGAAAGGTTCTACATTGTACTGCTGGCGTACAGCCTCAATTTCAGCAGCGTAACTGAAATTATAGATTAAAATCGCATTTATAGAGAGCATGGGGAGACGAAACTATTTTATTTTTATACCAAACATTATTACTAACTTATCACGAAGACCTTTAAACATCTCTGTAAACATTTGTCCTATAGTATCTACTACTTCATGATAGTGATACTTAAATGCCATTTCCAAGTCAAGACCAACAAATTCTGTCAAGTGTCTGTGTGTATTAGAATCTTCAGCTCTAAAAACTAATTAATTGTTATATGTGATAAATATCAATGTAATTTATAGGACACTCAATTAATCGATTAAGTTTCTAAGTATTAGAATACCTGCTCCAATAGTAAAGACTTTATCAAAATCCGCAGCTATTGCCATTTGTTTATAAAGCTGAGGGGACTGAGCTAGGTAAGCGCTTCCTTTAAAGTACGACACTGTAAACACATTCGCACCACCTTCGCTAGCAGCGGATATAATTTTCGGTGTATGGATTTCAACAAAACCCTATACACAAAACATTAACTAAGTCATTCGTTGTACTTATATTCAACCATTTCAGTGACAACTTACTTTATTTGTAAGAATGTCTCTGAATAATTTACAAACTGCTGCTTCAACCCTGTATATAGCCTGATTGGCTGGAGTCCTTAGATCTAAAACTCTGTTGTCTAATCTGGTGTCCTGATTCACTTTTATATTAAGAGTATTGTCATCTGCTTCTGCCATAGGTCTTGAGGCATCCTCAATTTGTAATGGTAACTGTGGCTTTGCAGCACTTATTACAAATATTTTTTCAACGTGAACCTCCACATCCTTCTGTGTACAGGATTCAATTTTCGAAGGAACACGCTTTACAACTGCCTCTACATCCACAATGGACTCTTTGGTAATGCTACAAAATTATTGCGTTAAATGTAAAAAAAAAGTTAGCAACTCATGCCGATAACATACTTTGATATGAATTTGATCATCTGCTTGCTAATTTTTTCATTCACTGCAGCTAATCCTTGCACTGTGTGCGACTGCTGTCTTAAAACAATAAAGCACTGTTTGCCTATAATAAAATACATAGATGTACAATGCATTAAATAGTCTTTTTTTGTTTTTTGTGTAAAACTGTATACCTTTGGCACGACTAGTATGCAAACGTCCTCTTAACCACACAATTTCATTTTCCAACGTTGCAGTCAAATTTTTAACTTCAGTAAATTTTCTCTCTGCATGTTTTTCTTTACTCTGTATTAATCCTGTGTCCCCATATTTTCCAACTGATACATCCTCTTCTTGATTGGCCTCTTGTTGTGCTTGCTAGATTATTGATTCAAAAGTATATTTTAAAATGAAATGTATATAATGAAAAAGGGGACTAAGAATTAACTTACAGTCTGTGCTTTACGTTCAGCTTTCTTCGCTGCTTTCTCAGCCTCCTTCTGTTGCTTCTTAAGAGCCTTCTTTGAAATTTCATCTCTTTAGAAAAAATATATCTTTAAACAATCAGTCAACCGTATAAAAGTCCCAAAGAAATATCGTCTTACCCTCCTACAGGCGAGTCTACAGGCTTATCCTCTCCCATCTATAAAAGTGATGCAACAGGATATCATCTCAATGAAACATAATTTTTTTTACATGTAAAGTGCTCGTGGTATTACATTGATATATAAATAGATATAATGCTTACAAATAATAGTATACTATAAACAATTGTTTCGCATAAAATACATATGTAAAGGATTATAGAAAAAGGTTAATCCGTTATCATGATTTAGAAACACTATTATTTTAATTATACGCACCTTTATTTTTTCGTAAACTTAAAAATTAATCGCTACAGCTCGAGATTTATTATATTTATTCTTATCATAAATTAACAGAGTGGTCTAATATATTGTAACACACTGATTTGAAATTTACCGAAACTGCAATGTGCAACTTTGAGGTTCATTCAGAAATTATCTGCCCTTTTATCTTCATCGCACATCCTTAGTTAGACAAAGATATGAAAATGCTACATACACATCACTGTTTTTGAAAAAAAGATACATCTCAGTATCTCAAAGATTACAATTAGTCATCAACTAAAAAAAAACATGTTCTCAATTTAATAAACTTATATAGTTACATAGATGTTATAATAGACAGATGATTCTCAATTGATTCTTGAACAATAAAAATTACATTTAATTTGGAACGTATACATTATTCTGTAAAGTTATTACATGCTTCTCACTACTTGTATTTTTAAAGAGTAAATTGTAGAAAAAGTACGCATGTGCTTTATGTTATACAAAAATAAAATATGAATTTATTTTTACACAAATATTTTATATTTATATTGAGGATTATAGAAACAAATAATCAGTTTTATTTATGTATATGCTCTTAATATTTAATGAATATATTTTTCAAAAATTATTGCAACTTTAGTTCTAATAGTGAAATGTATACCTTGCATATGTTCTAATGGTGATAGGATTCAGATTAAAACATTAGGAGAAGTAATCATAAGTAGGATTCGGATTTAAAAAAGGACGAGCTCGCATCGCAAGATCTCTTCGAATTTTAAGAGTTTTACTTCAAGAAACTATCATTTTTGCTCCATTGTCTGCTGAGTCCAACAGAACTGACATTTGTTCTTCTGAAGTTACCGGTGCAGATTGGATGAACGGCTTTTCATTGTTTTTCACGGATGACTGACGATCGGTTTTTAAAGATTTCATCGCGCTTTGCGTAGTGTCGCTCCAGCTTTTCCAGCCCATACCTTCATGACCTGAAAACACACGAGCTCGAGATTTGCGAGCGAGCCTCATCGTTGCATAGGGCGTAATGATAGGAACAATCATGGGTGCAATAACAGTTTGCGTCTACAAACATCTAAAATGAATCTTATTGACACTCTTTGTAAGTATCTACATATGTAACATTGGAAATCATCTTATGCTGTATATAACATTTGTTATAATGAAAAAGAATAAATGTGAGAAAATTTCACGTTGCCTTTATTTCTTACTTTTAAGTTTGTCCGATGAATCATCAAACGAAGGGTCTTGAATATTCAACATTAGGCTATTACCGCTAAGGTAAGTGCGATTCTGTGATCCAGCGATCTAAAATAGAAAAATTATATTTGTAACAAAATTGCTTAATTTCATTGATTAATATTGTAGAAATAATTAAATATTTTATAATTACTGTGCGAGAAATAGTCTGTGCTGCCCGAATTTTCCTTAGCTTTAGGTAACCAGGATTCTGGCCAACGGCTAGACCAAGGTGCACTGGAGTTAAGGATTATTTCTTTTTTAAAATGTAATTGTATCTAAAGATAATTATTATCGTGTATGTCTATAGTTAGGATTATTTTTATTATTATTAAAGGATATCATTTTAGCTGCTTCTGCTTCACCCTCTGCTTGGACAATTTTCTGCTGTCTCTCTTGTTTTGCTCTTTCTACAACGAAAGCTGCTCTTTGTGCTTCTTGCTGAGCTACCTGTTTAGCTTCCACAGCAGCTGTGTATTCTTTACCAAAACTCAATTCAGTGATAGATACATCGTCCAGTACAATGTTAAAATCACGAGCACGTTGTGTTAATTCTTTTCTTACTAAATTTGAAACCAGCTGTCTTTGTGTAATAAGCTGTGATGCATTAAACTTAGCTACAACCGACTTTAATACTTCGTTACAAATGCTTGGAAGGACCTAAAACATAATTAATACTATTATTACAGAATAACTCTATTGTGGCAATATTATATTAAAATTCACACCAACCTTCTCATCATAATCAAGACCTAATTGACGGTACATTACAGGTAATGTCAATGCATCAGGTCGAGAAAGTACACGAAGAGAAATATTGATCATTTGTAAGTCTTTAGATCCTGTGGGAGAGGATATTTTCCTGGGTCTGCTTCTAATATCGTAAATAATTGGATAATGGAACCATGGTATGCGGAAATGAAGACCCTCAGTCATTATATCATCCTGAATACCTCCCAAACGAGAAAATATGATTGCTCTGTGTCCAGCTTCCACTACAACAAAACAAAGATTTTAGTTTGAACTATACACATATTTTTTCTATGGTTTTCATTACCTTGGAGTCTAACAGACTTCAATTTCTTATTACCAAAAATATTATCTTATGAAATACAGCAAGAAAATGTATATTCCTTTTAAGGGACATGGAAGCACTTATGTATCTATAGTTGATTCCAACGTATATTTGAATCGACTGAACTTATTACTTCATTGCATTTCTTTATTCAATTATACGAAACTTTTTTTTCATGGGATCACAGAGATCGTATAGTGTGTTGCTAAGGTTAATCCGGCTTCTGCCATTTGACAAAGCGTAAAGTTGAAGATGAGATAGAAAAATGTTATGTTTGCTTACAGAAAATACATTTTCGCATTATTTTTACTAACAATTACAAACAAAATATCGTGATAGAATGTAAAAAACAAAGTAACCTGTGTACATAGCTTTCGTAACGCCGTAAACCGCCACGCCGGCTGCCGCAAGGAATTTAGCTCCAAGGGAAAATCCATTTGGATTTTTGGCGAAACGTGTTGCAAACTCATTTAGTTTATTCTGCGCCATTGTCAATAGAAATTAAGTATCACTGCACCAAAGTAAAGACCGATGATCCTCGGCAAACTGTACTTCTAACGTGGTCAAGATCAAAGTTGCAAAGCCGAGGGTCTGATTCTTCGATCGAATATGGAAGAAACCTATGCAGCGTTTACATCATTACATTAAAGAGAAAATACTAGTGGCAGTTTCTATTAATAACAGACGATACCAAGGCGACTTTATATGTAACTCAATTACCATGCAGCCCCATTTTCAAGGAACAAATATTTTATAATTAGCGTATATTTTTGATATCAGATAAATTCATTTATCTGATTTGATTATTATCTTTCGAAAACCTATTTAATAAATACAGGTATAATAAAAGACTAACTTATTTATCATCCGTAAAGTGTGTTGACATAAGACATAACTTACAATCAGGGATACAGAGCATTCACTGGCATTCACAAAAAACATGGCGCTCTGTTATACGAGGTATTCAAATACCGCTTAATTCTGTATCGTATTTCGTTATAATTAATAATATTCACGGAATAAATTAATTATTTTTAGGTTGTTCTGCCGACGAGCCATCGATCTTCGGAAATTTCGACATTTATACACCTGCAGGTGACATGTTATATAATATATAACCTCCTATGTTTCAGTTCAGTGTCAATTGACTTTTAGTTAAGATAAACCAAATCTCTTACAATTCATATTTTCAAGCAAATAAATCTTCACTTTCTTTCTAACTGATTCTCAGCAATTAATATTTTGTTTTCTTGAAACGTCACTTAGCTCACTCAATGTTGCTGTCTCGAAACCGTTGTGTGCTGGAAGCATAGTTTGTGAATCTCATGATGAGAAGAATATGCGCCTCAAGCGGCCTATGTCACCACATTTGACCATTTATCAACTTCAATTAACTTCCGTCCTCTCAGTGTCACATCGCACAACGGGTATTATATTATCAACTTATGCTGTGGCACTTGGTTTAGGTAAGCTTATGATTTTTCAACTAATCAACATAGAAATAAGAATGTTTTGCTAAGAAATTTCAGTTGAAATGTTTGATTCGAACTGTCATTGCAGGGACATTGGTTATTCCTGGAGGTATTCCGTGTCTCATAGAAATGATTCAAGATTTAAACTTAGCTACTCCTGTTCTTTTCTTAGCAAAAACTGTGTTAGCTCTACCTGCTACATACCACACATTTAATGGATTTCGTCATTTGGTAAAGTATCATTTATACATTCTTTATAATCAAGCATCTCTTGAGTAATTACTGTTACTTACAAGTGTAAGTTAATATTTACATCTATAACAGTAAAATTTACAGGCCTGGGATATGGGAAAGTTCCTCACAATTAAAGAAGTGTATAGCACTGGCTATACAGTAAGTGCATTGTCAATAATTTCTGCTGTTCTTCTTGCTGCACTATAAGTTTGAATAATGACCTAGTCAAGTTGTGATAAAAGTTCTATTATAAATTATCGGTATATGCGGATCAATAAGTTGTATCTTGCACTTTGAAAACTGTATTAAAACTAAAAGGAACACATTGTTTTTGACTATATCGTCAATTAATTTATAATTGATTAATGTTAAACAATCTGGAAAATGTATGATAATTTATTTAAAAAGGTTATTTATGTTTGAGTAGATACATTTAAGTGTACAAATAAAAAAAAATCACACGAAACCCTCGAGAGATGAATCAATGAATTTTTTATAAATTGCCATGAATCGGGCGACAAATGCCTCTAAATGGAAAATGGCCTTTGACCCTCTGTGCATTTTGTGTTCATATTCTGCAGCCACTGTTGCAATCTCAATTTTCAATTGGAGATCGCAATTCTTTATGCATTCTTGTAAAAGTCCCTTAAATATTAAATCGCATGGTATAGCATGCGTTAGTAGCTCGTAAAGTCTGTTTCGTATTTCTAGAAGTTTTTTTGGGCTTTGCTCGCTGACCATCATGTTTGCCGTGTTTCTAATATACACTTGCCAATCTGGTTCTGTAATCTTTTGGTTTACAGTAAATGGGTACCTAAAAATAAAAAATTTATAGACATCAATTCTTACAGTTTATTTTGAACCTAAGTTTGAAACTTGATGCATGCAAGTCTGAGTGCACCTACTGTTCAACTTTGCAAGCTTCAAGCATTAATAAAGCTCGTCTCAAATTCCTGCCACTAGTCTCGGCCAATCTAACTGCTAATTCGTCCGGTAAAGTTAAACCTTCGCGTTTACAAACTAAATGTAAAATATTTTTGATATCCAATATTGATGGAGCAGGTACCCTAATTTCTAAACATCGAGATCTGATAGCTGGCAAAACTCTTGATGTTGAATTCGCGCAAAGTATTAATCTACATGTGGCAACATATTTTTCCATTGTTCTTCTAAGTGCATGCTGTGCATCCTTAGTAAGTTGATCCAGATTAGTTAATAGCACCACTAAAATAAAATATTAAATGAACTCAAAGAATTAATTAACAATGAATTAAAATCAGTAATACGTACCTTTGAAGTCCCTTTGTCCACTAGAATCTATTTGATGAGTTTGGGCAGTTGTCTTTATTAAGTCCATCACAACTACTCTATCATATATACCCACATCACTAGGATTCACTTCTATATGATAATTGCTACTTATTGTTGTTATTTCTAATTTCTTTTTGGATGGTGTCTGACAGATAATAAATACATATTTTTATATAGAATATAATGACATAAAATTTCAAATCTCCTGGAGCTGAATAAAGGAATAAATAAAAAAATGTATATATTTACCTCAAAATTCATGGTCTCCATCCGTAATCTTTCAGCTCCATTTCCATATAATTCTTTTATAATACACATTATACGAGTTTTCTTTCCTGCACCTGGTGGACCATATACTAGCAAATGTGGAAAATCCCCTTTCTGCACCTGTAATTGCAATATAAAGCTTAAATAAATATCCTATTACAGTGATTGACATAACAGTGCAACAAATAATGGCGCTTTTTTATATAACCTCTTTGTCTGTTTATGCACGCATCAACAAATGAAATTACCATATTTTTTAAGTATTCTGCCTGCTCTTTATGGTAATCTAATTTTCCGAGTGTTGTTGGTCGATACTTATCTACCCAAAGACTCATGTTTGCACAAATATTTTGAAATCGTTGTCACCGATGTTCTAGTCCTTCCACAACTTCACAGATATAATTATTGTATATTTTTAAATGTCTCGTTATATGTATCACATTTATAGATTAAAAGTTGACATCGTGCACAATAACATATTGTTCGTTCAATTATTTACATTTACAATAGCTGAAATAAATCGTAATAATACTCGCAATCTTTACTGTTCAGAAACAGTTGTATGTATATAAATACAACTTCAAAAGCGCGCGAAACTGCAGTCAACTGCAGTACTCAATGTAATTAAATAATCCTTCATATTTTTTTTTTTATTTTCTTGTATATCATAAATACACAATAGAAAAGAAATTTAACAAAGTGTAGTAAATTTCTTATTTTGTTGTTAATCAAATGAAACTTCTCACAAATGAAATAAAATCTTATTTACTTCAAGTTCTTGTTAATAAATTTATAAAAAAGTAGAGTTGCATAAATAACCATAAGTTATTGAAAAATTCAATAATTGGGACAGATATTTAATTTTACTCGATCTTGACTTTTATTTGTATATTCCATTATACAATAAGTGCTTGCTTTTCCATCGAAAGCTAACACACTTTGGTAGATACAATAAATCATTGTACGCAACAGATTAGTATTATCCACAATGAAATGATTACATACTAAAAAGTACACAAGTTCTATATAAAAATGAAATTATACAGAAAGTAATCTAAATTATTAGATTTGTAAAATTATTACTAATGATAATGGCAGTGTGTGAATATGTTTCTAAGGATGCACACTTACAATGAATGTATAAGAACAATGAAAATTACTACATAATTCTACTACATAAAATTATGGAGATGTTTACTTAGTCAATGTAGTCTGACATTTCATGTAAAAGATCAGTTTCGGTTTGATAAAATATATAGAGCTTGATTTTGGAATGAAAGTCAAGAAGACATATTCGTATGTGCTTAAAAATATAAGTAAATGGAAACTAGAATGTTCCGATAATGTCTCTCAGACTCCGTTATCACATACTTTCAACGATATGTACAAGACACATATAATAAACGTACTACATTTATTCTACCAGTATAGTGCACCAGTATGTAAATGCTTTCAATTCACAGAATCATTTTGATTATAGAAAATATAGAATATTATCTTGTAAAATTGTCTCGTGCAGCTTGTAACAATTTATAAGTACATTTTCTTAAATATGATGCGAAAGCATCGCACGATATATAATTTTTAACATTTTGAATATATGTATTATCCGATATCTATAATCCTTTCATATACATAAATAATACCTAAAGTTAACACTATTTAATGCTTAAAACTAGGCTTTCTGAAAATTATATGGCCAGTGAATGAAACGAACAGCTATAAATTGTGTTCATAAACGATACAAAAGGAGAATACTTTCTTTGCTTGCAGTGTTCTTACTAAATGTGCACGCAGCACATATCTCTGTACAAAATGTTTTAAGAACGGAAATTGTTATGTTTGACTTATTAAAATACATTGACTTAATATACGCTTATACCCAGACACCGTGTGGATTTTTGCTGGTAGGTACTGCAGTCTCTAATTGTCTCGGAGAGCCTATCATTTTTCGTGTACTGCCAGGCTTATGTGCACCTAAGATATAAGTTCGGTAAATAAATCAGTAAATATTTAGTTCGTGTTCAGAATCATATTTCACTACCTTCCAATAATGACTTGACTTGTTCGTCTTGGCAAGCAACAGCTAGACTTTGCAAATTAGCTTCTTTCATATCAGCCACCAGTCGTTCCACTTGCAATTTTTTTTCAACAATGGCCGACTCCAAACTTACTACTTCAAGTTTTAATGATTCTGCACATTGCGAAGCTAACTCTGCAGAACGTTTAGCTTGTTCTACCTCATTTTGAAGATGCTCAACTTCGCTAATGATTTTACGTTCCATTATTTGTCTTTCATCTGTTTCGCGACTTATATTGTGTTGTTCTATGGCGAGTTCCTCCATAACTAATCTGTAATGCGAAAAGGAAAAATTAATACACAATCATATTTTTAATTCTTCGAAAGCATATTTATAATTTCCGTTTTACCTGATTTTATTTTTACACTGAAGCAATTCTGTTTCACAGTTTGCAAGTTTCGATCTTAACAGAGTAATTTCTGACTTCAAAGTTTTCTCCTGTTGTCTGACTATTTCACTCTCCTCTTCTACATGCGCTAGTTCCTTTAACTGCAAAGACAGTGAATGTTAGTACAAGTATAACGTTAGTAGAAATTATCTCGATTTGATTCAAATACATGCCTGTTCTTCGATGAGACGACCAGTAGACTCCATACGGCTTACCTCTTGGGAAATATAATCCATCTGATGCATTTGCTCTCTATTCTTAGTTTCCCAATATAATATTTCAGCATCAAACTGGAACAATTAATTAAGTGCAATCTAGATGAACCTGTTACCTACAACAAAGACTGTATTTGTTTTATACTTTAGTAAGATCTGCTTGCTGTGCATTAATAGTATCACGTTGCTTATTGACTAGTCTGATGAGTTCAACGTATCGTTGAGTGTAAACAACGGTGACCATATTTTGAGTTTGACCAGATAATTGATTGACAGATTGAGTTTGTCCCTTCGTATCCTGAAACTCCTAAATATACAAAACTGATTAAGAATCTGTGTATACATAGATGTATACAGTTATAAAGGGAATCTTTTTCTGTAAAACCTGGATGAGGTTCCTCTTTAGCTTGACAGAGTTACTAGAAGATGGTTGATCCTCCTTATGAAGATGAGGACTTCCACTATTTGTACTAGACTGAAACTGTGATCTTCCAGGACTATTTAAGTTTGGGGGTGGAGGATCCCTGTATGGTGGTAGAGTTCTTAATGGTGGAGAAGCTGGACCTGGAGGATCCCTATATGGGGGAACTTCGCGGACTTTCTTTTGTGATACATGGGTGTTACTTTCGCTGCTGCTAGCACGAGTGGGAGATTGTGCCGCCTTTTGTACGTTTTTCCTCATGTTCAATTCTTTATTTTTTAAATGAGGCGTGGGTTGAACTATGGCAACGTTTTCCATCTGAATCTAAAATGTGACAAGACATGAGTACTACTATAAATCAACTTTTTAGAACGTCCAAGATAATATATAAATTATTTACTTCTGTATTATTTTCCATGACATTTCCATGCAACCCCCCAAATGTTAATGATTTTCTGGTGTCACGATTTCTATCAAGACACCCTTGGAAATCATCAAATTCGGAATTTGAAGTTGTGCTGTTCTTAGTTTCATCCTGGCCACTAGTGGGAGTTGTGGCATGCTCCAAAGCTGAGTTGACCACACCGTTTAAACGTGGACCATGGTTCAAACGTGTTCCTAACGAACTAGGAGCTTTATTGCTGTCTGGTGTGGAGCGCCTTAATATAAGCTGTACTTCTGACGAATATTCTCCCCATTTCATTAAAATCTTACAAAAAAAAATAATTGTTTATCATAAAATTAGCGATTGCACGAATGTTAACAATTACCTCTTTAATATTTTATTCGTGGGTACATTATGGACAACCATTAGAATTAAAAATACAAGACACTTGTGTAAGAGATGTAAAAAAAACTTATTTACAAGAAGTTATAAAGTGGAAGGTTCTTGGACCCATAGATAAAGTAAACAATTAATTCTATATATTGTTACCTTCAGAGGATTTTCATAAGGAGCTAAGAGACGCTCATTTGACCTCCATCTTTCCACCAAAGTAAATCTACCTGTTTGTCCTGTAGCATGGGCAAGAGCATATACTACATCCTACAAATGAATTAGACATTATATGTAATTATATACAATGTACAATTTACTGTAATGATAAAAGATTTAGGTGTGCAATACCAACCTGACATGTAGTGGTTTCTGTAACACCACATACAATACGCTGTATACCCTCTACCCATACTTTCAGCTCCATAACGTCACCAATTTATAATCGCAAGATTGAGCCTTTGCATTGCAAAATCTTGATACTAAAACGTATCAAACCACTCATCAGGCTAGGATATAAATTGTATCGTATATACGAACAATTTTTATACAAAGAAAATCATTGATTTCTACGTGCGTTTTCCCAATGATTGCTTTTAAATTTCGTCGGAGAACGATCCTCTTAAATGTTTGACAAGCGATGTGGTAAAATACGTTTCATTTAACCTGTAACGTGTAATTATCAAAATGACAGATTTACGTCCATGATAACACAGAAGACAGGCAAACGCTTTTCTCTAACTTGCTGTGATAGCAGTGTTACGCAGCTTTGTCAAAGCGTCACGCTTCTGTAATTACAAAGGACCAATCATTGTGTACTTGTATTGAGCGCAATTGCATTCTATGTCCGAATCGGGGTATTTTATAAATTCAGAAGCTATTCATTTTATTTTAACAATAATATGAGATTAACAAGAAGCGGTTGCAATTGAAGGTATTTACTACATTGGTAGTGAAAATAGTTGTTCACCCTACTCCGCCAATCCAAAAGGCACCATTGGCAATAAGAGCTCTCTCTTATGCCGTGATATTCAATGGTAGATAATCCACATAGGACATATATAATATTATATGCTAGCATATATCATAGCTATGATAATGCACTTTGAAAAATAGAGAAAAACACGTAAATTACAACTGATTGCAACTAATATTTTTGTCACTGATCTTGGATTGTCTATTAAACTCCCTTGGTGTGATACTGCATATATATGAACAATTGTTCCCTCTGCTGTTTTTATTAATATTTAATTACATATTGACAAATGTGATTAATTACAAGAAATAATCTTGCACATCTTGCACCACTAAAAAAATATTTAATTAGGGAGTTCGGAATTTCACCGTTGCTTGCTGCATTAGAGGGAGCTGGAAACGTTGACAAAAAAAATGTATTAAATCCTTCATATTACGATCTACTTAATACATGATTTAAGTTTGTTTACTGTTGTTTACCATGTGGACTGTCGACACGTGATAATTCTTGTGTAATTTCTTTTATTATTGTTTTCAAATATATTGGAAAGAGAATAGCAACAGTACGAACAAAATGCCGAAAGTTCGCGCGCAGAAACAATTCCGCGTGCACAAGGATGTTGCAAAGCAGGGTACAACATATTTTTAATATCTTATAATAAAAAAAAATAGATTATTTTTCAATAGTTAATGTAACATTTATGCTTTTAAAATAACACTGCGTATTAAGTTGTATGAGTAAACACACGTACTGTTAGGTATAATATGAATATATTTATTCATATCATAGGTATTATGTTTAATACGGATATCGGTCAGCATATTTTGAAAAATCCACTCGTAATTCAAAATATGGTGGAGAAGGCTGCAGTCAGACCGACAGATGTTGTATTGGAAATTGGTCCTGGTACTGGTAACATGACAGTGAAACTCTTAGATAAAGCCAAGAAAGTTATAGCCTGTGAAGTAGACCCAAGAATGGTAGCTGAATTACAGAAACGTGTACAAGGTACTCCATACCAGGCAAAATTACAGATTATGATAGGGGATGTTTTAAAGACAGAATTACCATTTTTCGATTTGTGTGTTGCCAATATACCATATCAGATATCATCTCCCTTGGTGTTCAAACTACTTTTACACAGACCACTATTTAGGTAATTCATAACACAATTGATGAAGAGGCATGAAGTAACTAGGTTTAAAAGCAATGTGCCAATTTTTAACATGCAGGAGACACAAGAGGAAATGGAGTTGATTAGCACATTATTTTCTACAGATGTGCCGTGCTTATGTTTCAAAGAGAATTTGCAGAACGTTTGGTGGCTAAACCAGGAGACAAATTGTATTGTCGTTTGAGTATAAATACACAGCTGTTGGCAAGAGTAGATATGCTAATGAAAGTAGGAAAGAATAATTTTAGACCACCACCAAAAGTAGAATCAAATGTTGTTAGACTAGAACCACGCAATCCACCACCTCCCATTAATTATCAGGAATGGGATGGTTTGACAAGAATCGCGTTTGTCAGAAAAAATAAGACTCTTTCTGCAGCATTTAAGCAGACTACAGTGTTGACAATGCTGGAGAAAAATTTTAAACTACATTGTAGCCTCCATAACAAGGTAATTAGTATCGTAGAGACATGGTCAAGACTAGTAACTTTTGGATACTTAAATACTTTTTTCCTACAATATCCAGGCAATGCCAGAAGGATTTGACATTAAGGAGATGGTGAATAATATTTTACAAAAGATCGAATTTGCGAATAAACGTGCTCGAACCATGGACATAGATGACTTTATCAGGTATGACCAATATTGTGTTTATATTTATCATGTCGTTCATTGTCGTCTATTCTCAGTTTGATAACAAAGTTTTTATTTTAGTCTTCTACATGCTTTTAATGCAGAAGGAGTGCATTTTACATAATTCAAATGTTGTACCATGTGAAAACAGATGTAAACTATGTATTAATAAAAAATGCATCGCGACAGTTAGAAAAAATCGGAGTAATAAATATTTGTCAAACATGAAAATGCGAAGACTTATGTTCAAAGTCAATTATAGGACTGTGTAATTATTCTCGGAAAGCAGGGAAAATCAGTATTACTTGTTACAAACCAGTTACTTTATGATTTACGTATAACATGTATTATACATATAACATTTCTAGGTTTACCTGCTTTACAAAAAATTATATTTGTGTAAACATTTTAATTAAATTATTTGTTTATAAGATACATGTATATTTACAAACATTCTTTGGGAATTAAGATCGTAAAGAAGTATACCCAAGTTTATTGTACAATAATGAAGATAATGGTGAAATAATTATATCTCTGATTCGTCTCGTGTATAGAATATACGTGGTCTTTTTCACGTATTATCCGAAATTGTAACGTTGTATCGGGTTACCTTTTTCATTCAACCGATTTACATCGAAGAAAGAATTATAAACAGGGAAAAACTATCAATTCTGGAACTTTTATACAGACTCTTCATACATTATTCTTAAAACGGAAGTGGAAGCCATTTTTGTTTTAAAGAGCAAAGGAATGAAACAATACGAATGCATATTTTTGTATAATGCAGGACGTTTCTGCTTAGAAAGTCCTGTTATCTTCTCATACAGAATATCATTTCTAAACTCCGAAAGAACTTGTTCATCATGCCTCATCGTTGCACGCCTGATTGTTTAGAAAAACCACCAGTATAAATTTTGTGTTCAATCAAAGTGTTATTCGGTAGTAACATATTTCTCCGTTCTTGTGTTAATCAACGATTAAATGCATTCTCGGTGATACCATCGATTTTGATTTGGCGTTACCCTGAGATCTACTACGGCTCCTAAAATCTCTCAGGAGCTCAGTTCCTGTTTTCTTTTTTTACTTTTCATCTATTTGAATCATTTTTCGAACCGGAATGTTTCAATGCCGTGCACATATGAATCTTTAAATTGGATGTCGTCGTGTTAATCGCGATCGTATGGATGAGCTATACGTCCTACTGTTAGATCGTTTTCTCTTTTTGCTTTTGTGCCTGTCTTTGTGCTTCGATTTCTTCTTATGCGTGTATGATTTACTCGAATAATTACTACACTGACTATGGGACCGGCAACGATCATCGTCAGACTCTGTACTGCTCAGAATTGCTTTCGACTTCGATTTCAACAAGCTGCGTTCCTTTCTTGATATATCTCTGTTCGAATTGCTATCCCCGTCGCTAACATCTCGCTGCGACTCACGTCGCCTAGAACAAATTCTTTTCTCTTTCGGAGACGTATAGGAGGATGATGTGCTGCTACTTCTCGATATAGACTGCCGTTCATTCTTGTGCCTAATTTCCTTCCGATGAGAATCCTTCGTGTCCACTGGTTGTTTAGATTTTACTCTGGTTCTAGTCACTTTTTCACTTCTAACCGTGTCGAAATCACTGGAGCTAGTGGTGTATTTCCTCTTCGATCTTCGCAAGGTACGACATTTTCCGTTACCTATATCGTCCTCAGACTCGCTGCTGCTGTCGCTGCTGTACGATTCGTCGTCAGAGTACCGATTCTCTTTCTTAATTAAGTCCTTACGAACACGTACAGCGCCTTTCGTAGAATATTGTGAAGTTCTCGATTTCTTATCGTCTACTGTTTTCGACTCGATCTCGTGAGAGTCCGAGTCACTACTAGAGCTTAATCTCTTTTTTATCGCGCGCGAAGTTCTACGTGGCACTCTTTTCCTGAAGTCGCTATCATCGGAACTAGACAAATTTCTAATCCGATTCCGAGCTCTAGTTTCCCCTGAACGATTGCGCTTTTTGGTGGTTGTACTTCTTTTTGATTTTCTGGAGCGACTTTGATACTTTCTGCTTCTTCTACACGCGTAGTCGCTGTCTGAATCGGAATCACTTTCTGTGGACGACGACGTGAAGCTTCTTTTCTTTACGGTATGGGATGTACTCGGTTGAATCGAACTGTCTCCATAAAAACCAGACGTGGAAGACCTGATAGAAACATTAAACCATGTTCATATCGAGGATTCATTTTAGTAAGTTTTTTTTTTAAAGCGGAGTATGCATGACGTACTATTTACTTACTGTGCATTATCGTTCGTTGCTTGAGAGACGTTTAATTCGTCAGGGTCCGATGATACTATTTCTATGATTTCCGGTGTTCTTTCGTGGCGAGGTTTCACGTAACCAATCACTTCGCAATCATTCTCGGACGAGGAGAAATCGGAGGAAATCGTTAGAACGTCCGGTACACTGTATGAAATATCCAGTTGGAACATTTGTCCTACAGTACTTGGGCCTGTTAAACAGTAGTGTTTTAAATTGTATTCTTAATTCGCGCACAATGGTACTGTTTGACGGGATTGAAATTTACCAGGCACATTTATTGTATGGGGTCCTGTACTGGGTGCTACGGCATTCATTCTAAGATCTATTGCTTCGTCAAGAACTCGGACATCCGAATCATCAGAACTAATACTACTACTGCTGGACGCGGGTGAAACAATATTCGATACATATTCATTTGACAATCCTAAAAGACGCGTTATTAACTTTATATAAAACATATTAGGTATTATATATATATAATAAGATAGAAATAATCGTGATTAAATACCTTGGGGCAAATAGGTCACGGACTGATCGTACCCAACTAAATCGAAGTTAGTTCGTGCATAGTTCAGTAGCTCGTGAACAAAGTGATCAGTGAAATTTCCGAAATAAGGACGCACTAAATCTCGAAATTCCGGGCTCCTAATGTCATACTGACTAAGGGCTTCCAATATAACTCTCAACACGTACGCAACATGCGGTGCATTGTTATTAAGTAACACTTGTAATTCCCTATTTAACCAGGGAATCAGGCGATTTAACTCCCTTGGCTCTCTCCTGTAAACAAAGCACAGTTATACCATGCACAATGATTTTCCGGAAAAATATGGGGGCAGACGCTAACCGATAGTATTCTGCGCTACAATCACGAAAACGGCCAAATACATCAGGCAATGCTGTGGCCCAAATTCCATGTCTATAAATGCTACGACGATAATCGGCTGGGTTTGCTCGTCTACGTAAACGTTCTCCCATAGGGACCTGGGGCGCTATGCTTGGCAATTGTTCTCTCCTCGCGACTTGTTCTGGATTGAGCACTACTTCGTGTGGCCGTCGATGATGTCCTGTCATAGTTGTTCTAAACGATTGATCGAAATGATTCACTTGGGATCATGTTGTAAAGGTTAGTTAGAAACATGGTTTTATGTAATACCTATAATGAATACGATGCGCAGGGATGTCCACTGCATGCCCCAGATCAAAATTAATATCCAGAGTAGCCAATTCTCTAGGCACATGATACTGATCGTAATCTTCTTCTGATCTAACATTGTGTATGATTGATTTGAAGGTCTGCTTACACAGAGGACATTCTGTTTTTATCTTTGACCATTGAAGCAGACACGTGAAACAAAACTGATGAAGGCAACTATCCGTGAATGATGTATTCACTAGCTTGCCTAAACAAATACTACAATTCGGAGGTGGTGACACAGCCCCATCACTTCTATCACTACTATCTGGATTCTGCACAGGTGCTTCAGACTTGATGGGTTCTTCTGCTCCTGGGACAGAATGTTTTACTTCTAATGGACCCTCCATTATGAGTCAATGTATTCGTGCTTCCATTAAAAGAATTTATCCTAGAACATATTACATAACACTTCATTACAATGGTGTACTCAAATAGTTTATATTTCTAGGTATTAAATAAGTTCATAAATGCAATGTTTCTCAATTAGTTGTGTTGTTAATGATATTGGTAATTATGTAAAAACTTAATTAATTTTCATAACTAATACCCCTCTAATTTAACTACTGCAATTCAGGTGATGACAGTATTATTATTTACAATGTAATTTATATTTGATAAACTGGTGGTATAATCTTTTTATTAATCCTGGTAACAGCATAGTTTATTAACTTTATCTTTACACAAGATTGAGTAAGATAATTCTTATATATGTATATATATGTATATATATATATATATGTATATACATATATAGATATGTGTACTCCACTTTTATTTTTTAATATTACTTTATCTCAATATTTAACAAAATAATAATGTTGATAAAGTCAAGGAATAAAGTATCGAATTATTTAATTGAACACAACTGAGGTGTTCAACTCAAGGTAAATGATAACACGCAAAACGAAACAATTAACCAGCTAAGCTTGTACAAGTGGCGTAAAAAGCATTATAAAAAACAAGCGTAGCGATGGTTAGAAAAAAGTGTCTTCGGACGATGTGAATGAAATAGTACTCAATGCATATATGGAGGAAAATATAGACGATGCTATTTACGTTTTCGACGAGGTCGATCTGTCATATTCGTGAAACAAGTTAAGAAATCGAACTTCCTTGGACCTACTCTGATAAGAAAAATGGAGAATCGAGCCTTGCTTTCCAAAGCTTCTTTTCGTTGAAAAGGAAAAAAAGAACAAGATACGTCACACAGAGGAGAAAGAAGGCGTCGTAAAGCTGTTTGATAATCGGTATGTTTCCATTTTATTCAACTTGTTATTGATTATCGATGTCACTATTTTTTCCATAAATCATGCAACTCGACGGACATAATATCTTACCTTTAAGAAATCTGGAGTAGAGCCAGATAGCCAGCTTCAGTTAGGTAAAATAATTACCGTCTCGGCGAAGCTATCTTTTTTGAGAACGAGCAGTCTTATAAAAGTCCATGATCACAAAGCGGAAACTGGCATAGCATAATACCATGAGTGAGACAGATACTAACGAAGGTAAGAATGATTGTCAGTGCTACCGCCCAATAAACATTCCTAGGATTTACTAGAACTGATGCTCATTTGGATTAAAAAAGGATCTGATGTTGTTCAGGAGCGTGCCATCCTATTCTAAAACCTATTCTTGAAACAATTATGTATTGGTGTATCAAAATACTGTTTTATTTCAAATAAACTTGATCTGTGAGAGTCTGAGTATTCAATAGGTTGAATAGCTTATGGCTTTTGTGGATATAATAATTTTGGTAGTTAAAAATTATTCAAGGTTTATGCATTTTAATACAGCAATAAGAAAATTTTATTAAACACATTGTGTTCTCAATAAAACTTACAAACAGACTGGGTCTCCGATTTTTGATTTTAATGTTGACTATCATGACTCAATTATCATTTCAATCCAATTTAAAAATATTGATCTTGGAATTGAAGTACATAGTTACATCCCTGGTCAGATCATGTGATTTTACTTAACCAGTCGTTTATAATCTGAACGAATAATGCAAAGCATATACTAACAGTCTATCGAAATCGCAAATATTTATTCAATTTCTGCATCTATTCGATCTCTTTATTAACAATAATTGTTGATATCGTTAATGATTTCATTATATTACAGCGTTTTTAAAGTTTCTGTAAATAAGTAACAATAAGTAAAATCTAGTGGTAATATCTGTTAAGTTACTTGATTGAATGAGCTAAGTTCATGGCAATGAAAAAAGAAGGATGCAGCCAACATTGCAACACATAATCACAGAATATTCTGTGACATAACTTGAAATGTTTAAATTGTAGAATAATAGTCGTAAGCGGCGTTTATTATATTTGATCGTGTTAAAATATAATTCATGATTTCGTGTAATACTACGTTCTATTTTTTACTTGTTAAAAATTCTATACAGAATTTTGAGCTTGACAATTAACAAAGTTAAATAATGAGGTAGAAATTCCCATGCATTATACGTACGCTCCTGTTACATTCCATTGACATTTTATATTTAGGTATATCTACTTTTAGCCGGTTGCCTAAATGTATTTGCATTGTTACTTAAGTTGGAGGTAGACTGTAATATTAACAATAATCAATCGCCCGATTGATCTATTTTTTAAAAATATAAACTGAAATTGGTATTTCTTTATACAGTACATTGAAGAATTTTTTATTGGAGTGTCACTTCACCTTCAGAGAAGAATTCGGAATTCCACGGACCTTTAAACGTTTTTCAAAACTAAATTGTTGACATTGCTCAGTTTTGTTGGAAACTAAAATACTCATATATAACAGAACACTCTATATAATCTTGCAAGGTATCATAATGAGATTATATTATTTTGCAATGTTATGATATTTAATAAACTATCGTATAAAATAATAATTAGAAATAATTATATGTTAACAGTTCTCTCTTTATATGTAGCATCATAGTGCGAGTTAAACAAAATGAATCAAGTACTGGATAAATTAAATCAACGAATAAATGCAGCTAACAAGCATCGAGAAGTTGTTAATGAATATAAAACGCTACAGACAGATGAGGAGAGAATAATATTTACTCTTAAAGTTATGTTAACATATGATATAATACCTAAAATGTGTGGTGACACAAAGGATGCTAAGGAATCTGAGAAATTAAGAGAACAGGGTAACAAGGTATTTGTTTCCAAGACATTGACAAATGTCACTATTATCGATGCTTTGAAATTATATACTAAAAGTATAGCCTACGCACCATATCCCTCTGAGCAGCTTGCTCTATCTTATGCCAATAGATCTGCAGTTTTATTAAAATTACACAAGTACAAAGAGTGTATCCAGGACATAGATAGGGCTATAATGTTAATGTATCCAGATAACTTAAGAGCCAAACTTTACATGAGGAAAATCGAGTGTCTGCAAGCCCTGAAGCCTCCAAACGTAGAAGACGCTGTGAAAGAAGCACAACAATGGTTAGAGAAAATCTCTTTGGATGACATTAATTACAAGAAATTAAATGATAAAATTGTATCTTTAGAATATAGTTTGAAATCGCATAACTTTAAAAAACAGAACGTCGGAGAACATCGGACTCCATATCTTGTTCCTGAAATAAAGAGTTATAACACTGAGATTCCATGCGCTTCAGACGCAGTAAGTTTGAAGTACAATGAACAGTACGGTAGGCATATTATGGCTGCCCGTAACATAAATCCTGGAGAAGTAATTGCCATAGAAACACCTTATTCATTAATTCTAAATCCTAACAATGTACACACCCATTGTTCGAACTGTTTAGAGGTATGTTGGAATAACATACCCTGCAACTATTGCACTTTTACTATGTACTGCTCGGAAGAATGTAGGGCTTCGGAATGGAAGAAATATCATGACATAGAGTGCTCGGTGTTTCCCCATTTGCTAAAAATGGACTTTAGTAAACTCGATTTATTTAGCTTAAGGATTGCCGTGCAGGCTGTGAGAGATAGTAGTATACATGATTTAAGAGAGGAGGTGAAAGATGTTGATAGTCATGACGGTAATTATATTAAGGAACACTATTGTAGTTGTCTCCAAGCTGCTTATCCCTACTTATTGTCATGAGTACGGGTGCTCATTTTTTAAGGAAATTAAGAAATAGTGGTAATAGGAAGGGAAATATTTCACTCAGAGATGCTTACAATGCTACTCTCCACCATAACTACGCATACATCACATGTAGAAGTAATAATTTTAATTGATCTCTTTCAGATATTCGAACAAAAGGATTCTCTAAAGATGGAATTTTTGCAAGCGATCAGTATAGAAGCATATTAAGTCTTGTGACAAACACTGACAAACGTTCGGTCCATGATCTCTTTAGGCGATCTATGGATTCTTGTTTCATTTTATATTTCGTAACAACATGTACCAGCATGTTTGGGAGTCCATTGGAAAAAGACCTATCTGTCCTAATGCAAAACACCGATGTCACATTCGTTGGTAGTCTGATATTAAGACACCAGCAAACCATTCCTAGTAACGCGCATAGTGTATGTCATTGTAAAGGAAATGATTCTATAAATACACTAATAATCATTTATTTTCTTATTAGACAGAATTTTTAATGAAATTGATGGTTGCAGTTCCCAGAGGAGTATGACATGGATACTAATGAGCGCGGTATAGTTGCTATGCCATTTTTCAGTTTAATTAATCACAGCTGTAATCCAAACGTACTGAGAGTCTCAAGGCCCAAAGACATAGTCATTTATGCCATGTACCCTATTCAGGAATGTGAACAGGTAATATGGTGACACGTAGTTAAACATAAAGATATGGTGAGGTTGTAAACGTAATATAATAAACGTACTTAAGGATAACGATATAGTCGGGTTGACGTCATAAAGAGAGACGTGATTCGGCGGTTAACGAAATCATGATAATCGTGAAAATTTTTGAAAACTTGAAGCGATTCTGGGTCCGAGAATTCTGACTGGGTCGGATCTACAAAAAGAGCTTCTGTCTATGTCCCACTGGGTTTAGTACCTTAACTTCATATAGTTATATTTAGATATATTTAAATATTAATACGTGTTACATGAATCTAACGTTACTGATATAAATTATTTTCTTCAAGATATTTGACAATTATAGTTACCACTATGCGCTTTCTCCGAAAGCTACGAGACGAAAGGCGCTTTTCGAACAATATTATTTCATCTGTAATTGTATACCGTGCCAAGATGACTGGCCACTGTTCCAAGATGTGCAATCGTTCCAAGTGAGTTAATAATGAAACATGTATCTAAAGAGGTCTGGGTATAAAACTTTATTGTTTGTATGTTTTATCATAGAGTTTAGTTCAGGATGCTAAAGTTGCGGCGATGATCGCGAGTGTGCTAATGAAATCAAATAATTACTTGACTACGGCTGCCAAAGGAAATGTGTTGGACATGGATCACATTGTCGATGACTTATTACAAATGATCAAAGTTTTATACAATCTGGTACCAATGCCCTGCCTAGAAATGAACACTCTGGTAGAAATTTTGAAACGCGTCTACGCATTGCACGGGAACATATTTGAGATTCCTAAAATGTAGATGTGCACCCTGCAGTATTTTATATAACTCGTTGATGTTAATTTGTAAGTAGAAATAACTACGCTTGATTAGAATTGAATAATTTCTGTATAAGATTGTTGCTTGCTGCATTAATAAAATGTGCCCACATATTATAAGTAGATTGCAGATGTCTATGTAAGTTATTTTTTTTATAGATGCATTTAAAGAGGTAGAAAAAAAGATTAATTCTTTTTATTGAAAGTTGTATAAAACAGATTGTATTCTCTTTTGACGTATTTTACCCGCTGTAAATATATGAACGTCCGCAATCTAATTGCAAATATATACATACTTTTATATAAATATATGTATGTTGTACTGTCTCTGTGTTTCAAATACGGTTTAACAAAGATCCAAAGATCAATGTATAAAAACATCTTAATAAAAATGACATAAATGTAATATCTTTTCTCTCTTGATTCTAATTATTCACAATTAGAGTACTAACTGAACTATATTCGTCGATTATATGTCATTAGTTTGTTAACTAACATCCTATAGGTGCTAAAGCCTATATTTAAATTACGCAGCTTGAGGTAGAGAAGTAGTAGGATGCACATTAGAATCTTCTATAAATTATTAAGTTTTAAATACTGCTGACGTCTGATTACTCAATGTATATCTTTACAAATTGGTTTATCTTACGAATAACCAACTGATTATTGGTAATAAAATTGTCAATCTAATAGATTGATATAATTTGCTAGAACCACTGTTTCCCTGGTGATCATTCTCAATTTTTTTTACATAATTAATCCTCCATTCAACAGCTGGATGCACAGGACTGTGTTTCTTAAAGTACTCAACAAGTGCATCTGCTGTAGTCACACCTGAAATAAAAGATGTTGCACTTCTTTTGTTATTAAACCATAGTAAATTTAAGAGAGTTTGACTATTGCACATTTGATAATGTTTGCTGGATGTGTATACTCTCAATAAGGAGTAAGTAACATACCTAAAGGCTGGGTCTTGAGATCCTTCAGCATAACATATCCATCGCCACCAGCCTGCATAAAATCATTGAGGAGTACATTATACGTTTCATTTTTTTTAAGTTCACTGTATGATGGAATGCTGCAAGATGCACATTGCACCTGCACTGATACCACCCTAGAATTCTTCGGTCGAGTCAAATCATAAACCACCTGTAAGATGAAAGTATCTCATCAGGAATAATGTTTCTTTCAGTTAATAAGTACCGATGTCCAGAATATTGTTAAGTACCTGAAGACCAGAGAACTGTACGAATGCACCATATAAATTTGCAGTTGTGCCTATTTCTAAGTTTTGAACGCTCCATTCCAGAACAGATAAAATTAGTTCCCCAGTCATCGGGGCTCTCAGTATGACATTGTGGAAGGGTAGTACGCTAAGAATATCTCCCATGGTAACTTTATCATCATTGCTTCTAGTGATGGAAGTTCTAATACTTCCACTGTTATGGAAAGCAATGGCAGCATCTGTCCATCCATTCCTGCTTGCATACTGTCCAACATTATAGTCGATCATGGCATCGGTGACCAGATTACCAAGATTGCATTCCATGCGTCTGCAGACTTTGCTGTCCCCTTCCAGGAGAACACGAGTCTTACCAACCACTGTGAGACTTACATTGTCAATGGCTCCTCTCATTTGATCTAATACTTGCAAAATGTCCTTTGCCTGTTTGACAATTGAAATAAGTATTAAATAATATTGATATATATTGCTTGACAGAGTTATAGAGTAGTATTCTCAATGCATCATATACTCCTTACAATTTCTGGAAACTAATTTGGATTTATTGTCGGACTTAAGTAATTGTTAACAATTTTTAAAGAACGTATTGCTTTTTACAATGCCTGTAATGCGTAAGACAAAGAGCATTGATTGTGCGACAAGGACAGAGATATTATCATGCGTGCCACCTACTTTGTAAACGGATTCATGACCCCCTGATACGTATTAGGATAACAGAATAACGGAAGAGGTATTAGACAGAGAGGGCGCTATACGAACGCCGAACGTGCGACAAGGATAGACAATTTTCCGACCAGAAGCTTTAGCAGTGGAAATAGGCGATTTTTCAGCTCCTGGTATTAGGAATACAGAATAACCGAGGAGGTTGTAGACAAGGACAGATGTTGTATAGAGTGAGACAGAGATAGTAAATTCCCGCCAAATTCCATAACCCAACTAACGTTAGAGAATGTACAAATATCTCAATATTTAAGAACAATTCATAACTATTTGCAACTGAAGAACATAGAACAGACCCCAGGCAATATTCACAACCCAGTTGTCGGTACCTTTGCCATCGAATTAATAAGTTATTAATGATTATCGGAACTGATGTTCAAGGATCGCATAGTGTAAGTGGACACTGGCCACATTATTCATTAATTTATTAATCTAAGATGCACATTTAGTATATTTTTGCAGTCTAAGAATGTAGAATGAACCTTTAGCTAATTTCCCATATCCCTTTCCAACAGTTTTCAGGTTCAATTAATTTGTTACGTACAAGTTTTTACTATGTTGATCGCAGTAACCTCACGCAATTCGACAGTCGCCTGTATTATTCATTATTTTCCTAGTTTTACGAGATAATTCGTGGTTCTATCTAGTATAAGAGTCTAGTATGGGTCTCTGGTAATCTTGATGTAACACTTTGGAACACGAATGGTTTGTTATTAAGGAGTTATTAACAATTTCAGCAAGTGTTATCTTCTCTCCAATGCTTGTAATGTGTAAGACAAGGAGCGACGATGTGTGCGACAAGGACACAAATAGTATCATGCGTGCCACCTACTTTGAAAACGGATTCATGATCCCCTGGTACGTATTAGGATAACAGGATGACCGAAGAGGTAGTAGACAGAGAGGGCGCTATACGGTGACACAACGTGCGACAAGGATAGACAATTCCAGAGTCAACCGCTTCGTCCATGAAAATCGGCTGTTTTTCGACCCCTGGTATCAGGAACACAGAACAGTCGAGGAGGTGTTAGACAAGGAAAGCACATATATAGTATGAGACAGAGATAGTCAAATTCCCGCCAATTCCATAATCAAATGAAGCGTTAGAACATTTACAAGCAACAAATTCTCTGCTAATAATTTATGACAATTTGCAATCGGAGAAGATAAATCAGACTTTCAGCAACATTCACATAACCGTTTGCACTAGGTTTGTTTCGTAATTAAATAGTAATTAACAACTAATGAAACCATTGCCCTATACAGACGTGTTAGTAACTAACACTACTTAGTTTAATTATCTATTTAGTACCTTTACACGCATAATTAACGCACTTTTGTGATTGAAGAATGTAAAGGAGGCCTCTGTAAGTATTCAGGTAGCAGTATTGAATAGATTTTGGCTGGAATTAATTAGTTATTAACAATTTTTGGAGGTCGTGTTTCCTTTTCTAATACCCGTAATGTGTAAGACAAGGAGCATCGATTGTGCGACAAGGACAGAGATAGTATTATACGTGCCACCTACTTTCAAAACGGATTCATGATCCCCTGGTACGTATTAGGATAACAGGATGACCGAAGAGGTATTAGAGAGAGAGGGCGCTATACGGAAACCGAACGCGCGACAAGGATAGACAATTTCTGGACTCACTCTTCTGTCATGTAAACCGGCCGTTTTTCTGCCTTTGGTATTAGGAGCACAGAATAACCAAAGAGGTTTTAGACAAGGAGAGTTGTCGATAGAATGAGACGAAGATAGTAAAATTCCCGCCAACTGCGTGTCTATTCAAGCGTTAGAAAGTTGATAAACTATTCACTTTTAAATAACAATTTATAAATTTTTACTAATGGATTATACAGACTGGACTTTTAGCATCTTTCACGTGTTACTTTTGAGTAGGTTTTACATCAAACGAATCAGTTATTGTCTTGTTTCTAGCGTTTCTACCTTTCGACGTCACATGATTTGACAGTCGTACTTGTAATTTTCAAATTATTATATTTCTATGATCAATTGGTGATATTTCACAGTTTGAAACAGTAGCACGGACGTTACCGAACTGTCATGTTGTGATATTAAACGAGATTTGTTTGAAGTTAATTAGATATGTAACAATTTCTGGAGGTCTGTTTGTTTTAATAATGTCTGTAATGCGTAAGACAAGGAGCATCAACTGTGCGAGCAGGATAGAGATACGATTCTACGTGCCACCAACTTTACGAACGGTCTCATAACCCCCTGGTACGTATTATGAAAGCATGATGACCGAGGAGGTATTAGACAAGGATGGAAATATAGAAAGCATAACCGCGGGAGCGAGAAAGAGATAGTAGATGTTATAAAATCGGGAAAAATGAATAAACTGTTCCGTTATCGTCGGAGCAAGGAATAGCGATCGAAATCGTCCAATTACCTGTTCGATACTGTTGTCAACCAAGACAGGATTGCCCCTGATGTCGGTCACTTCGCCCTTCGAATCGAACTTCACCGTGAAGTTTCCCAAATACTTTGTGTAAGCGTACGCCTGCACCACGTACACCTTTCGGCCGTTTTTCTGCTTTATTTCCGTCGGATAGAGGCCTTCCGGTACCTCGAGATCCGGCTGTTTCCCGTTATAGAGGAAGGTGTTGGTGTGACCGCCGATCACAAGATCGATATCCTCCACTTCTCTAGCGATCTTTTTGTCGACGTCGAAACCAGAATGTCCCAGAGCGATCAGAATGTTTACACCTTGGCTCTTCAGCTGTTTCACCTCTCGACGGATACTCTCCACCTCGTCCATGAAGATCACATCTTCCGATAGTTCACCGTCAGGATCGTGCTGTTCAAGAGTCTCGTTTTCGCCAGATTTGGTTGCTTGCTAAGGTCCAGGTTCGCGGTAACTATGGGGAAGGAGGCGTTCTGAATGAACGGGATAAGACCGTCCACACCGTCGTCGAACTCGTGATTGCCCAGACTCTGTAGACGAGAAGATGATTTTCTTATTCAATGATAATATTCTGTCTTCATCTTCCTAATACGTCTATCATTTTTTCAATTATTAAGTTGAGTAATGCTTCCTCGGTTTCAAATTTACACAGTGGTAACGAATTAATATTTAATTAGTAATAAAGAAAAATGTGTGAAATTGACGCCGAGGGAAGGGATGGTTAACCGTTCCAGTTATTTTCCATGGATTATTATTCTATTCGAGGTTTGTACGCGTCCCCTATTCGCGAACGAACGTGCCCATTAATGATTGATTTGGCAGAAGAGAAACATTTGGTTATTTTTTTTTGTTCCGCGACTTTTTTTATGGTTTTTTCGTTTGATTTTGTAGGTCGCCTTGGGGCGACAGCTATCCGTCAGCCATTTATCCGGACAGGTAAGGTCGTCGATTCACGAATTACCGATGGTGACTAGCGATATTCAAACCAAAGTATTTCTACAACTCAATAATAACGCGTGGTTTGGAACTCCATTTCGTAATGTCTCGTGTTGTAACAGTTTCAAAATGTTAAAATATTCTTGCGAATCATTTCTATATCACGTAATATACTTAAGAACACGACAAAACATTTATTTGGTACTTTTTAAACAATTTGTCAATGAAAGGGTTAAATTAACCATTTTCTTCACTTTTATATTGCAATAAAACTTGTCAAATATCTCAAAAAAGTTTCTTCTTGTAACATTTCAATCATTGTTAAATAATTATTACCCTTCGACAGAAAAAAAAAGGTAATATTATTGTATAATTATTTCTAAATAACAGAGATGGGCAAATTCATTATCTAGATAAAATGTTTCGAACAACGAATAAAAGATAAAAAAAAGTATTCCGTCATTTTTAATCGTTTAAAGGTGGAAATTTAAATTTTTATAATAAAATAATACTTCTTTATCTCAGAACGACACCCTTAGATAATGCTGCTTTTCTCTGTGTATTATTCGAATAAAATTCTGCCCAACTCTGTTGAATACCAATATTGCGCAAGAGACCTTACATCACGACGAGGGAATTCTCGAGATTGATGCACGATAAATCTTTAGGGGAAACGTATTTAAGAGACATGCGTACGTGTCGGGCGGGCGAGTTGCAAGAATTTTGTTAACGTACGGTAGCGTTCGGAGCCAACAGATTCAGGAATTTGGCAACCACCTCCCATTTGTACACGTTGTACCACATGGATCCTTGGTAAGTGTCCCCAGCGTTCAAAAACAGACAGGGAACCGAGGATCGTCTCGCTTGTCGTAAAAGGGTTGCTATCCTCGCGAATCCTCCGTAACATTTGCCTGCCTCTGCGTCCTTCTTCGAGCAGACACTCGACAATCTCGATGTCTGTTCGAACCTAAAGAATCAAGAAAATTCATTTTCATAACGAGTTCGAATATCAACGGAGGTGAATTTCAATGAATGATTTCCGAACGATGCGGCGATAAATTCAGCTGAATGCTGGATCGTATCTCGTCGATCGGCCGGATAAGAAACGGCAAAAACTTGACCGGATGCACTTGGTATGGTAAAAAAGAGCACAATGAGGAATCGATACGTAGAACATAGCCGATGAAAAACAGGAAGCTTGCGGAAAATTGCAGAAGTATTTCTCGATACGAGAATAGGAATTAATAATTAAACCGCTCGATCAGGTGTTAATTAACGCCAAGCTGCTCGTGATTAGCGTTCGACGCGTGGCAGAAACAGTTCAACTGACTAAATATTTACTCGAACGTGTTGCAATTCTCGATTATGTTGCGTGGTCTTTTTTTTTTTTTTTTAAACGAAAGGAATTTCTGAGGCTATACTGGTAAGCAGTTTAATATTAGTCGTTCACAATTTTGTCAGATTTTACGATCACTTGAATTAACTTTTTGTATTTCAAATAAATTTCTTTGATAATTCCTGTGGAGTTGATCACTTGGGCAAACGAACGGACTCGCATATCTCGCCATAAAACAGATGTTACGTTAATAAAAGATACACACTTTTTTTTATTACAGAGCTCGTTATCTTCATGACGATGTATTAAATTCCTTGTAAAACACAGCGAATACAAAATTTCCATTTTTGCGAACAGTGTTTAACCCTTATTTGTTGAATTCACTTAACTATTTGTCCCTTCATTATATTAATTTTTTACCACTGTGTTAATTTGACATCGAGACACAATTTATTAGGTGAACAAATTAATTCATGGCCCTCGAAGTTAATTATTGACTAAAAACCGCCATTATTCTTTCGGGATTCGTCAACTGGCCCCAGAAATGGCATAAATGCATAGAAAATGATAGGGAATATTGTCAAGATTAGACTGTATTTTGGATTTTTTTAAATAAACAAGAAATATATGGAAAGAAAGCCAAGAATTAATTTGTACACTTAATAAGTTGGGAAAATGATGGACGAACGAGAGCTAAGAAGAACAATCTGATATTTCCGCGAGTACCATTTCTATATCTCAAATTTCTTTGCTATTCTTTTTAGTAACTTTTTCAACGGGGCAAAGAAAATTGTAATTCTCGATATTGACGCAGGAATAATCTGACTTTATTCAATCTCAAAGAACAATTTTTATGCCAACAATTACCTCGAGTGCATGTCGTTCGTGTGAACGATCCTGACGGTGAGTCCTCCGTCATTCGTCGCGATAGGATTACCAACGACCCCATCAGAAACCGCAGCGATGGCGCAGCAAAATGCGATCAAAACCCTCATCATGTTCGCCAGTTTAATTTTTCGTGGAATTTCACGCACAGTTTCGTTATCTCGTGTATTTACAGGTGAGCCAACAGGTTGCGTTGATAGAATGCAGCTGTCGAATCATAAGAAACAATGAAAAATTGTTCCGTCGCATCATGGCCATTTCTTCGCGTTCTAAAATTACGTCACCAAGGACTACATTCCTACGAGAATTATAAATCGATTTCACGGATCGCTGGATACTACATATTTTTAATCAATTTAAAACAACTCGTTTGTTTTTCCTTTAAAAACAGTCATGGACGCTTGAAATTTTCTAGATCGTTAATTTTATTTTCGAAACCGTGCAAGTGCGTCTGGGTCCTCGGCATTTCGAGCGTAAAATAAGATCGTCTGGTGTGCTTCGAAAGCCATGGATAATCTAAATAACGTAAATGTGTGAACAGGTCGGATGAATTTTACAGCGAATAATTCGTTCTTGAGTCTGTAAACCGGAAGTCGAGGGAGACCAAGGAGTCGTGAATGGCACCCGGAGTGCCTGATGGAATTCTCTTGCGAAACTCGACGGTCGCCGTTGCCAAACGAGCCTTTCCAACGCCGAAAGTCGCTGACATTAATATCGTGCTCGCGCCAATAACTGACCACCGTGTTTACCTGTCTGAAATGAATGGGACACATCTCGATCGTTCTCGATCAAACGGCAAAGTTTGATCCTCGAAGCAAACGTCCACGGCGTGGATTATCATGAATCGCGACGTTTGCGAAATCGACGCGGTAGTTTTCGTTAATTGATATGTTCCCCGAGTCTTTTAACGCGTTTTTCGATCAGTCTGAATCGTGAGGTAGAATTCGTTCGTGGCGAATCAGCAGAAAAACTTGCGAATGATTAGATTCCTGCGTGAGAATCAATGAAATTCCTTGACTCGTGTTGGGTTCTTTGGTTATTACGCGGTGATAGACAAGGTGTTCATTGTCCTTTTGGATTTTTTACATTGTGCTTCCTCGTTTTGGAGATTCTAATGGTGAGATTCTAAAATTTGGGGAATTGAATTTGAATGTGGACCAATTGTAAATTTACGAATTTATCTTATGAGTTTTATTAAATAATTTTAAATGGAATTGTATTTTCTGATTATCAGGTGGTGACAGTCAAGGTGTTGTCTTTCTGGATCTTTTATAATATGCTTCTTCGTCTTGGAGATTCTGATGGTGAACAAAGTAAGATTTGAGGAATAGAATTTGTAAATTGTTGTAATATCAAGTGTATATTTGTTTCGACAATTTTTTTAAAATGCTTCTAATTACGATGCCCTTAAAACGAGGCTATCAATAAATATTTCCGGTAAATGTTTACGGTATCGCGTGACAAATTAGTCAGGGAATAATTGACGTTAAGTACAGTATCCTCGTACAGATCGTTCGTTAATTGAAAGTGTGTGACTCTGGTATACAATATTTATATATGAAACAATAGAAGTTAATAGATGGAAAAAAAAGACTTGGGCAAAAAAAAAATGAAAGAGAGGCTCGAGGCTGAATAAACAAGAATTTTCTATATTTCTTCGCGTTCTTATCTCTGCATATAGAAGCTTCATATCTCGCGTAAAAATTTACGGTCGTTAATTGTTTTTAAAAAGAAAAATGACCGTTGCCCTCGGTATTTATTTTTCACAGCGTGCAATTTCCTGTTCAATTATACTTTTAAAATATCGTTCGAAAGTATCGTTACAAAAAGACACAAATATTCGTAATTGTCCGATATGAAAGCCTATTTATGATGCTCAAGGTTGCTGCTTAGTAATCGCAACATCTGTAAGTAGAAGATATCAGTAATGTCAACCAACATAATTGGCGAGATAAGAGACCGAAAAAGACGTGGTTCCGCGACAAAAGTACTGGTGCAACTGACTGAAACGATGTTCAACTCTAGAATGTCCTTATCAGTCTTTGAAATTGGAAGATGTTCGAATTCAAGTGTTCCATTCAAGGGTGATTGGACGAGTATCTTTTCAAATGACACAAAAAAATAAGTATAACACTAATAATTTATTAATTAATAACCTGAAAGATACTTCGACTTGGAAGATACGGTGTCTGTTTAGTTGTGAAAGTCAACGAGTAGACTTATTAAATAACATCTTGCAGAGTCCTTTTTTTTAAAACAGAAATTCAGATAAGCTTTAACAAGAATCAATGAGTGTTTACCTATTCAATATGTCTACAAAATTGCTTCAAGGTTCATCTACTGTCTGTAAAGTTTCCTTCTCGAAAGACAGCATTGGACGGTCCCAAAATGATTCCTCGTAAAATGCATCCGAACCACGCAACCTTTGATCTAGGCCTGTCGAAGGTTTGCTCTTTTTTATTATTCTAAATTCTACTCACGGAATTCGCGACGGATAGATCACGAATAGATCACGGATGTACACACACTGATTTCCATTACATTTACAGGAACGAAAATTCAGACAAAACGTTTATTTCAATGTACGAGAAGTTTATTTATATAAAACTTAAGTATCATTACAAATAAATATTCAAGTATCGTTCTCACTGTGTTCTGTAGTCTTTTATAAAATATCAATTCGTAAAATCCGCGATCTATTTATGAATCTAGTCTCCTTCCATGGTCCTTATTGCAACGATAATTATGTTCCTCCGAGTGTCACAAAGCACGTGTCAATGAAACGCGAAGAAACGAATGTAATATCTTCAGCCAAAAGTTTGGAATCACTTGTTGATTCGCACCGAACTTTCCTCAAACTCGAGATTAACCATCACTGAAACGATCACTGATATCTTCGATCTTTAACACTAAAACTATCAAAACAGTAAAAATGACTGTGTCAGTACACTTTCATAACGATAATTAAAATGTTATCACATTAAACATACTTCTTATTTTATTTTTGACACCATAAACCTCCTAAGAAAAAATGAAAGTTTCCTTGTTCAATTCTGTCTTCGAAAATGACTTCATAAAGTATTATTCCGCATAAAGATCCGCAGTGCAGATTATCGATCTGACTAAAAAATCTATGTACGTTTCCATATATTTAGTGTTAAATTACTTGACAATCGAACCACCCTCTCGTTTTATCCATTCGAAAAAAAAAAAAAAAAAACGTGCTTCCAAGCTTTTGGCCGGCATTGAGTGTACCTACAGCACGTGAACCAGCGCCAAACATCTCACAGCTGCGTGTCGGAAGTTCGCGATCCGTTCGCGGGACGTACGAATATAAGAAGTTTAGAGTGAGGTCTTGAAGCTGGCTCTAAAAATATGCTGGCCGCCGGAAACGTGACGAACACACCGGTGTTCGCGAGGACGACGCCAGGTATACAACGATATACCTTTATACCGACAAAATCGGCGGTCCGATTGCACAATGGACCACTGAACGAGCGGGACCAGACGTCGAACCGATTTTCACGAGCGGCCAGCGTCGACTGAGCGCCTCGATCCACCGTTGAAAAGCTCGAGGAGAGGCCAACGTATGTACACGCGCGCCAACGATCTCGCGCGAATCGCCTTCGTGCAGTGGATCACGCTGGATCGATCAGGGACTTCTATCGAAACGTAAATTACTGGTATTATACCGGTATTTTCGGTTGTACCTTCGCCTATATAACCCTATATAAGCCCTGCCCTTATAGAAATCGAAAATATACCGGAATTGATTTCGGTTTTCGGTAATATTTCGGTTTCAGTATAGCTTTGATGGCATAATACCGGTATCAATACCGGTTTAAGTCCCTGGGAGCGATCGAGCTTATCGTGAGAGGTCTGTCTATTTTGAAAATTGTTGAGTTTCTCTTTTTTTTGGCAATTTCTTCTGATGTTTGTTAACACTAGGTTTATGGGACGCGTCATTTTGACGTATGTCGAATTTCACAAGGAATATTATACAAAACCGTTTACATTTTTCTCCTACAGTGACGTCTCGATGAGTGCAACGTAGGTACTTGCGTCCCCTTCGGAGCATTCATGGCATGGCGGAAAGATTTTTTTATAAGCGTCATTTGTTAATGGTTTTTTCAAGGTCACCTAAGTTTTTTCCTGTTGTACGTTACAGCCAACATTATTATGCAAGGAAATGCGATAATTTTAAATTTGCTAAGGAAAAGTTCGGTTGTTAAATACTAAATTTATAGGTATTATAATTATGTACTTGAATCTTAATGAAGAGGTGTCTTTAGGAAATATCTATGTTACCATCGTGGGAAATTGTATCGAGACCTTGGAAATTGTATCAAGATCTTGGAAATAATTGTAGGCACCAGTATTCTTTTTAAAAGCCTTCAAAGTAAACTCTGGATAGAATTGTTCGAAGAAACGAAATTTCTTGCACAATTTTAGACGGTAATTGGCCGTTAGTTAATAATCTGTCAAAGATGGCTTTACTCGGGGAATACACGTATGACAGGGTTAATAAGAAAATAATGGCGGTGTTAGATGGAAAGGGAACGACGTTGACAAGAGCGTGTTTGCCTACTCTACTTTCCTCGGGGGGGGGGGGGGGGGAAAAAAAATGTGACAGTTGGTCCAATCACGAGCATGTAAAGTTCGTATCTACATCAGATTTTAATATTATCATAAATCGAACACGTTGAAAATAAAGCACGTGACATATGGATATTTTATCTTCTTTATCGCCCACTGAGTAGATAAATCCTACAGATAAGTATCCTCTCTAAAAGTAGTAGAACCGATCTTATTAATGTTACATATAAAAGTGTCAAAAGAATTAGAAAATGAAAGTGTTTCATTTGTTCAATATTTCATTTCAAGTGTAAACTGTAGAATCACTAGCTGAAAATTCGAGCATACTTCTTTCGCAACATTCTTATCTATCGAATGACTTCAACGCTCCGACTGTCCACGTGGATGGACGCGACCAAACAATAGTAATTATAACTTCGCTTATCTAGGTCCCGTACATTGGGAAACGGCTGCTTATCAGCCGATATCTCGTCTATAAATTGTCAATCAAGCTCTATTACTTATTGGTACATCCTATCGTATCTAC